GGGAGGGAGAGAGAGAGAGAGAATCGTTTATTCAAAATAAAAACCTTCGCAGCACCAGTGCTGAAATGCAGTTACTACACAAAGTCATAAACACGTTCTTCAAATATCTGATTGGATTATTTTTCATTAGGCCACACTAATTTGATTTGTTGGTTCTGGGATTTTTTTTTCAGAAATAAATATGAAGCGACAGGGCAAATAAAAAAATAAAAACAGACTAAGATATGTTAAAAGAATCATAGGGATACAAATTTGCTTTGACACATTAATTACTAAGTAAATACAATAAAAATAAAGAAATAAAGAAAATACATATTATTAATACAGATCTCGACTTATTACTGAGTTAACATACAGCTGAACAGCTGAAACCATGAGTCAAGAATAGAATAGAATAGTATAATACATTCAAGATAATAATTGACATAAAAATCATTCAACCGCAACAGGGGCCAACATCGTCTACCAGATACCTTTGACCCAGTGTTGACGTCGCACTTCAAAGAAGCCTCACTGGGTCAGTCTGCTGAGGAAGACTGGTCGAAAGCTCTGGGTGAGAGAACTTTGTTGTGTTGGATTAAAAGTTTAGCTTTAAACAGACAAAAAAATCTTTGAGTCACCTGGCCGACCATGTTGAGGTACTCCTGCTTGCTCTCTTCGCTGGCTTTTGGTTTGTAGACCGTGACGAAAATGGCGACACCCAGACACACGACGGACAGGGCGACCAGTGCCCACGGCCACACCGCTGTAAGCCCCTGGAAGAGATATTTTATTTTATTTTATTCACATGGATTTTTGAGCATTAGATAGGAAGCACCTGTTGTGCTTATGTGAATCCGCTGCTCAATAAACATAATACAAATGTAAACATAAAGATGACATAAAGTATAGCATAAACATAAAATGAAAGTGTCTGGCGCACCAATACCTATAGCATAACATTAATGAGATTGGTCAAATCTTCCAGAGTGGTGGATGATAGTTGAACACAATATCAAAGATACGGCAGTTAGTAGGGTATGGGAGGGAGGGGCTACCTGGAAGAGATATTTTGTCTGAAAAAAAGTCCACGTCATATCTTGAAAGTTCATCTGTGTTGGTAGAAGTCAGAGACCGGGGGCGCCACAGACTTTCTGCAACCTATGATCCACTGCTCACGGAGTCACGTGTGTTACCTGCGTGACGTCACGGAAGCGGTGGATTGCTCATTCCTTCACAAAGACTGGAGTTGTACAGTCGAAAATTTGGGTGATTCCAATTTTTTTGTTGGCTATTGCAGTTCAAACTTGTTTCATGAACTTAAGTGCATGTCATGACTATGAAACAACATAGTCTATTAAGAAATCAACCACCACACTAATAACTTATGGTCATTTTTACTGTTTACTATCATTCAATGTATACTTACACCATTCAATGCATATTGAAATACATTGGATCTGTCAGTGGCAGTTTTTAATTTGGTAGGTGCTACATACTTGGGCAGACAGGAACGTCAATTATTAGCACATCAATTAATGACTCATTTTTGCATAAAAATCAATGTGAAAATTAGTAAGAAATTGTAATTCTTGTTCTGTGTGGTATACTTGAACAAATTAGACAAAGAACTATTATATAACGTTATCTTACCTAGCCTTCTTCGCAGTCTTGTTGGGCGTTGGCGTTATTTTTCTTCTGTTGGAGCGCGAAACCTTCTCTCCGTGGCAAAAACTCCCTCGGCAGCAAATCGTCCCTCGCGGCGGCATATTACTCGTGTCGCTCAGAGAAAAAATAACGCCGACGCCCAACAAGACTGCGAAGGAGGCTAATCTTACCGTTGTAAGGAAGACGACAGCCACACCCATGAAGGTGATAAAGACCACCCAGGCCAGGTACCGAAGCCACGCCCACCCCACGGACCTGCCAACCACTTCGGGAAGTTTGATAGCTCGCCCGTCTGGCAGGAACAGCAAACTGTGCGTTCAAGTGAGAAAGGAGGAGAAACAATCACTGCACGAAACCTTAGATTTGCCGATACCAATAGAGTTGTGTGTAATGTTTACTTCGTTTTATTAAACACTTCTGAACTTTACAATGGCAATAAATAAATGAATCTTTATTGCATGTTCTTGCCCAGATGGGCTAAATGCACAAAAGTCAAAAAGTCACAAATAAAAAGTCAATAAAAATAAAAGTCAAGTACAATAATACCGGACTTAACAAGGTTTGTAATTACTGCAATTGACCTTTATTTATTACCATTGTAAAGCCAGATACTGTGTACATAGTAAACATTACCTGAGTTTACAACCTTTGGTAAATCCAACTTTACGTGCAGTGAACGGGCGTCAATTTAAGAACTTACAATGGTATAACGCTTACATAGAACTTATACCTTTAACTGACAGCCCACAGGCTGAATTGTGTGTTCTTACATACATATACACAGTACATATAAATAAATCTTGCACAATGTATAACGTTACGACAAGTAATGTTGCACTATTACCAAATCAATCGACTGACTACAGTTACCTATTACGAATTACGTTGATTTTTGCGGAGGCTGTCTACGAATTACGAAGTCTAAAATGGCCTGATTACGCCTTACGAAAAAGGGCTTGCAGGCCCTCCTTACTAGTTGTTAGAGCGCCGACTAGATATCGGCCAAGCTGGATTCCAGGGCAGGGGGAGGGAGGTTTACTCGTTCTTTCCGGCTACAGGTTATTTAAAACTCAGCAGACAAAAATTGTCTATGAACAAACACTCAACAAAAGTCATCCACAGAATACATGCATGTACAAAAGAGATCATGATCAACACGAAGAGCGGTCTCATTACCCCAGCAGGGTACCTATCGACCGAATACAGGTGCGAATGATGAGGGGGAGGGGTGTGTTGGCAGCTTTCACAGATAACTTTTTAAATGCATGTAGTGAACCAAACGACAGAAGACTAGGATATCTTCAAATACCTCTCCTCTGCCCCACACGGCATGAAGTTGAAGTGGTAGAACTTGGTTCGCACGTACATCTCCCGCCCCTCCACAGTGAAGTAGTCGCAGGCCCCGAACAGCCGGGTACCGAAAATACACACAAACGGCATGGCAGCTGATACTGCAGCCTGGACTGAGTACAGGGTCAGGATATAAACAAGCTACAAGCACTGGGAAACCTTGAATCGGTCTCAAAATCACACACTACTTCCTTGTCAAAATGGCCGCCAGTGCTCTTCTCCAGTACCTATAAACAAGGCTTGTATTTAACCTTCTGGCTATAAATTGTCCACATAATGGGCCTGTGTCAAAACTTGTTGTTCTGCCTAGAAGATTAGACCGGAAATGCACATCAATGCACATACCGGCGCCGGTATTGGCTGAGGGCCCTGAAAATGGGTGAGGATATAACGTTAGTGTCACCATGCACCTCCTGTCCCGTTCTCATAAAATATACAAACATAGATGAATAAATGAAGTTATGTTAACTATATCTGTCTGTATGTGTCAGTGTTTGTGTGTGTGTGTGTGTGTGTGTGTGTGTGTGTGTGTGTGTGTGTGTGTGTGTGTGTGTGTGTGTGTGCGTGTGTGAGTGAGTGAGTGAGTGAGTGAGTGAGTGAGTGAGTGAGTGAGTGAGTGAGTGAGTGAGTGAGTGAGTGAGTGAGTGCAGTCAGTGTGTGTTGTGTGCATGTGTACATCCTTGGTTTCATCCAGACGATGTAACGTATACATGTGTGTGTGTGTGTGTGTGTGTGTGTGTGTGTGTGTGTGTGTGTGATAGTGTGTGTTTCTCAGTGTGTGTGTGTCAGTGTCTGTTTGCATTTATATGAATTGTTGTCATCGATGATAATTTAAGAGGCAATTTGCAAAGGACGTATGCAGATTATTGTCCTGACATGACGCGATGTCATGTGGCTTTACAAATTTTAGATTGTTGGTAGAGTTGTACAGGTTCTGCTTTGGATAGGTAATGACTGACATAAGCTACTGTTGGAAGTGCAATGAAATGAACTGAATATCCAGGTTTGCTCTCCATGCTCGTAGCAAGTCAGGGTTGTAAGGATTGATGCTTGTTTCTGTTCGATGCTGCTCATTATGTACCTTTGCATTGAATGTAGCTGAAGGGTTTTTTTAGAATGGATAATGGATGTGTTTAGTTGTGGGTTATTAGGATCTGTATCTGTATAGCCGGTATAACCGCCCTTTGGCGTAACACACCAGCTTCGCAGGCACGCGGCGCGGCGGCAGCTGACTACATTACACCGATCGACTTGTTACACCTAACCCTTGAATACTAACTGTAGACATTGTTTAAAGCTATCTAATGACAATGCCCCTACTGTACTTGGTGACAGCGAGTTCCACTCTGCGATAGTTCTAGGAAAGATTGAATTCTTTAACACCTCAAATGGATATTGGAATCTGCAATGTGTTTTGTAGCCTTTCTGTAGCATGTATCTACTCAATGACTACCTTATGCAGTTGTGGGCCACGATTTTCATCAGGACGTGTAACCATGTAATATTTTAATTTTTTTTATTAATAGCAATTGTTTCATGAAGGATCACTGTTCTTTATTCCCCTTGGCCACGATATGTAGTGTCTGTTACCCATAATAGGGTATGAATGTGAGGAATCCCACAGTAAAGTAAAAAAAAAATATTTGAAAGCGATGATGAAAATGTCGAGCAGCAATGATTGGGGTTTGGAGTAATAAGTAGTGCCTTTCTGCCAGAAAGCGGTTAATATGTTGTCATACGTTGTTCAGTGTTTGGTATTCTATTCCTTTTTTGCTTTGGGATTCACTGTAAAAAATGTATTACCTAGTACCCTGGGGGTATGGAGGTTGAAGACTGTCTAGGTCATTCTTAGGCAATTTAATTTTTGTAATGTATCTTTGGCGCATAGATTTCCAAGGTTACGTGTACAAAAAAAAGAACACTACGTAGTTGGTAACGGATGAGCATGAGAATAAAAAGTCTTGTTGGACAAGTATGGTGTCATTTCGTTAATACGTTATTTATTCGTCATACAAGAGTAGAGTTATAGTCCAATACTACAACAAAACCTATTTTCCTGTTTTAAAAGGTATCAAAGGACATGTCACTTTCTTATTTTGCGTCATAAATTGAATCTGAGAGGAGCTGGCATCAAGAACCACGTCAACCCTCCTCCCAGTCTCTCAACTATACAACTACGTCAATGAGAACTAGCCTAGTATCCAGAATTATTTACCAAGTTAAAATACAGCAGATGCAAAGTACTAATGCCTGATAATGAATATCCAGTTCTGTCCACCAACATATCTATAAATTTATACATGGAAATACATCTATTTGGAAGGAAGAGCCTAAAAACGTGAGGTTTACCATCACCATATCTTGTCTTGAAATATTGAAATGTAAAAAAAGCCTGAATATCAGGTACTAGTATACGTAATCAATTATAATAATCTAAAATGCTAGTATTCCATGGTTTGAACTCTCCCCTAAACACATTTAGCACTATATCTGTTGATACAAGTATAAGTAGACACCTTGTGTTGTATTGAATTTGAATCCTATCTGTACACAATTAACTATTTGCAAAGACTTGAACAGCATTTCGTGAAAATATATTTATATGCTGAATGTTGGTTGTTAGGTTGAAACTGGATGGTCCAAGAGGACACAGCTTCACTTACGTCGGTAAAGGTTAGACATCCAGGTAATAAGATACGCCAAAAACATTTACTCAAGCAACTGGATATGATTTTGGAAACTATCAGACGTTTCAGGTAGCATCCACTACCTTTCGTCTGTGACACTAGAGAACTTTTGTTTCCTTTTGGACTTCCAAAAAATTGTCTTCAGACACTTATTTCAATAGTTCTTGCTTATAAACCTGCATTTCTGCAAGTTCTCTAGTGGATGTAGTGGATGCTACCTGCAACGCAGACCGTTTCCAAAATCATACCCAGTTGCTTGAGTAACTGTCTTTTTAGCACAGTTTCAGTTGTTTACAGATCCTCCGCCCTCCACGGTTCACTCCCACCTGCTCACCAGCATGGCGGTCAGCAGGGCCCACAGCAGGACGTCCGTGCACAGGCGACCCCTGGCGGCCGAGTTTCCAGCTGCATATCCGAAAGTGTAGCAAGAGATCATTATAAGGGCTGACCTAGGCTTTAGCCAAGCAACTTTCATCATGTACATTCATTGAAATAAAGATGATTTACCCCTCCCTACAGTTGTAAATATTGACATGAAAGTTTAGTTTACCGTCACGGAGTACAACTTAACCACACACATGGTAAACAGCAATCGATGCAACATGGTTAAAAGCACCTTAGTATAGTAATTAGAAGACATGCAATCTGTAGTATAGTACTAGTAATTGGTATACAAACAAGCTACTTCTTCAAAGAGGTTACGGACTGATATAATAGCTAAAAGAATGCTATGGTGATCTCTTAGTTTGTCTGCACTGAACATAGGGAATGTTTGTGTGGCAAACTTTGGGACACTGTTGCTATCTGTTGCTGGTAAATGAAATGAATTATATTTTGTGATGACTGTTGATATGATATTAATGCCGTCCTTGTTAGACTTGGTGCTTATATGTATAGATCATTAAAATCTTGTTCAAGAAAGTTGAAAGGATCTACATACTACTATTATAATAATGCATGAAGCACGTTGGAACAGCATGACTCCACGTTCTGTCAGCTTGGCATGTGACACTAGAGGCTCCGTTCAGTCGGTATCCGGGGTTACAGATGAACCTGACGTTGTCCCGGTAGGTGTGTGGTCCGGTAGAGCTCACCGCTCCGTTTAATGGAGCCGTCAGGGTGGGACACGATGCTAAGACAATAAAGCAAAATAATCTTGGTGAAGAAAGTTGAAAGAATTAGCCTATCAATACTTATAAATGAAGCGAGCGACATTCGTTACAATAGAGGAGGCACGTACGGTACTGATACATTTTTGTCCTACTAGATTCTCTACCATCTATTGTATGTAAGTGAAAGACGTTTTGTTATAGATTTTGATTGGTTTCAATTGATCATTTGTCATGTCATCTTACCTGTGCACGTTGGAACACGTCCACTCCATGATCCGTCCGCTTGGCAAGTCACACTAGAGACCCCGTTCAGCTGGTATCCCGAGTTACAGGTGAAGGTGATCCTGTCCTGGTAGGACTTCGCTCCGGTAGGACTCAGTACTCCATTCGTTGGGGCAGTCAGCGTTGGGCATTGTCTCGCTAAAAAGGATAACGTCAAATATTCTTGGTCAGGAAATTCGAAGGGATATGCGTAATGCATGGTTAAGTCACATTCAATAGAGAGGGTCTGTTCGGTAACTTTTGAGTGCAATCTTGGTACAATGTATTGAACTAAAGATGCAGTTTCTTTAACATCTATTGGATATGCGATATTGGCTAATTTCAATCTATCAGTTTCTTACGTGTGCATGTTGGAGCAGCATTAGTCCAAGTTCCGTCAGCTTGGCATGTCGTAACAAGAGAGCCATTTCGTACGTATCCGGAGTTACAGTGGAAGGTAACCGACATTCGGTAGAGGTTCGCTCCGTATAGATATCCATTCGCCGGAGCTGTCAGCGTCGGACAGGATACTAAAGGATCGACAACATTTCTGGTTAAGAAAGTTGAAGGAATCTATCTACTGATGAGCCATGAAGTGGCTTTCATTATTGAAGGTATGTAGGGTACTGATACAATTGTCTTTACTTTCTATTGCAGGTAAATGAAGGACATGTTGGTATGAAGTTCTTGCCTGCGCATACTGGAACATCTCCACTCCATGTTCCGTCCGCTTGGCACGTCACACTAGCGGCCCCGAACAGTCGGTATCCCGAGTTACAGGTGAAGGTGACCCTGTTCTGGTAGGAGCTCGCTCCGGTAGGACTCAGTGCTCCATTAGCTGGGGCAGTCAGCGTTGGGCATTGGATCGCTGAAAAGTGAAGTACTTTTTAAGTTAAGAAAGTCGAAGTATACACATTAAGGTGACTGAAAACATGTAAGGGAAATGTTTCCTAATAGTTTCTTTACTATCTATCGTAGGTAAATGAATTGCATTTTATTATGGACATTGATATTCAGTTCAATGGTATCTTACGTGTGCATGTTGGGACAGGATCATCCCATGTTCCGTTATAGTGGCAAAACGCCCAAAGACTGCCGTTCCGCACGTATCCCGTATCACAGAAGAAAAAGACGATGGTCCTGTAGGATGTCTCTCCGTTATACGCAGGATCAAACCTTCCGTTAGTTGGGGCGGTCAAGGCTGGACACTGCTTGGCTGAAATTGTCAAAAACGATTTGGTTAGGGGACAGATATATGTACAGAGCGATGCCCGTTAGTCTATGTCTTTTGAATCCAAGGAAGGTCACGCGTTTTTCTTTTAATGTATGTTTGTATGTCTGCAGAAACGGTTGTCAATTTAAAAATTAAAAACAAAGAAAGAAACAAACATAAACAACTATACCTTGGCCTATTTTCAAGTTCCATCCGCTTGCGTTGTATCTGCCAGTGAAAGAAGAGACGGGGCCAAACTCTCTTCCGATGTACTTCAGCATCTCGACAGTCCTACAGTCGCCGTCGTCCTTCCCGTAAGCACAGGCAGGAGCGCCCCCTGTCCCACCTGACACGCGCTGCACCTCCTTCACAGAGCCACTCTGCACAGTCACGTCACTCTGGTCGATATCATATGCAATCTGCAGACACAATTGTTTATAGATCTCGTCAAATATACTACAAAAGCAGAAATAAAGGCAGAAAAAAAGGAAGGCAATTTCCTTATATTTCTTTTAGGTATGGTGTGCTACAATGCTTATACATACTGTAAATGCATTTTTGTTCGCCAGGGTTTTTCTGTACTTGATTTTCATTTTCTATCTTAGGGATAACTTCAAAGAAAGATATTCTTCTCAATATCCCAAAACGATATTGTTTATAGTTTTTTTTTAAATAAAAAAACAATCACATTATCAACATTGGATATTGTATAATGTGCATAATGACGACCAATGAATAGTTTATTTGGTTATCATGAAGTGAATTAAAAGCTGATTGATGATGTATATGAAGGAGTATACATATGAAGTATGTACAAATACTTCAATGATACTTTACAACTCCAAAATCCTGCCGGGATGCATATGGTACGTGTTTCTTCACTCTATGAATTAAAATCTTACCAGAAGCACTTTGTGCACTTCCACGTCCTCCGCTAGGTGGAGCACCCAGTTGACCGGTTCGTACGAGCTCAGCACCAGGACCAGAGGTTTGGAGACGCTGCCGGTTCTGAACTTCACGTCCATCTCAGCTGTCCCCGTTTCACTAGAATGAAAATAACCAGAAGACATTTAGATGAAGCCAAGGTCAATGCAAAGTGATCCTTGTTGGTCGACTCTAGCTAGATGTTGCCAACATAACTTTTACCATCAATATAGCACACTATGCAATGTCATTCCGGCAAACGGGAACTAGTTCAAATGAGACTTCTTAATACGGTCTGCACGTTGTATAGGAGTGGTTACGTGTATACCGTTATGCCTTTGTCTGATTGTCATATGTCTGATTGTCATATGTCTTATCATTTTAAAAAGGTAAATCTCACGGTAGTTGGTAGTTTTTTTTTTTCTTGTTAGAACCGGTACCATTTGAAGTGTACAATACACTGTTGGATATTTTCTTTTCTCTTGTTCTGGTCTATACATACCTGCTAGGTCCGACCCCCTCGTACACGGCCAGTACGTGCACTTCGTACTGGTTGTTGTCATCAGCGACGCAGCTGAAGGTCTTTCTCAGTTCAGAATCATGTAAAGCCGCGGCCTGGGCAGTTGAAGAATCCCATCGTATCTCACAGCTCCCGACAACCGCTTCGGGTAGACGTAAGAAACACAATTATTTATCATCGAGAATTCGTGATACCTATGTCTCTTCTCTCACGTAGGGGTTGTGCATTTAGAAGGTACTAGTTTACAAACAAGTATGAGAGAAACTCTTTCAATTTTATCTGCCTGGCAGTTGCCCCGTTATATTCAATTGCTTACTCATCACATGTTTCTAACAGTGAATTTTCCCAGTGGGCATCAATATAATTTCAATTCCGCATGTTGCTTCTTCTCTAGTTTTAATGATAGAAAAAAAGAAGTACTTGGATTTAATAGCACTTAACAAAGCGGTTTTCTTGTAACCTGGATCTCGCAAGTTCTCAACTAACATAGAATCCCGCAGTTTTGCATGCATGCAAAAACAGACGGACTTGTATACTTACGTAGGCAGGTGTATCGCTGGTAGTTTTCACCCGAGCACTCGCAGAACCCGTCAACACAGCTGGCCTCGGTGATGTCAGACAAGGGGCAGGACCCTTGGCAACTGGTAAGTTCTACGATCGGTAAAATTCAACAGAAATTAATGAATTTGAAGAAGGTCGTTTGTATAATTGTGTGTGGATGGATAACAAGACCAAGGGCCAAGTAAGTTGTTGTCGGTGAGATATATTCCTGATTTGTTGTCTGTCACTGGAGTGTTGCTAGATTCTTACAGATTGCAATCGATATCTTAGACCAGTTATGGTTCAGGCAAGGTGTATTCTTACAACTTAGGGTATGGGCAAGTTTCATGTCGCCAATTAAAGGCTATCTTTCCTACGATGCAGCAATCATTTCTCACCATGGTTATCATAACAGGACGTTCCATCGGACACAAGGCTCCATCCGTCCTGACACGTGCAGGTCCGCCCTCCGCCGGGGACGGGGAGACACAGCTGAGCACAGTTCCCGTTAGACGCCGAGCAGGCTGTTCTCGGAGACAAATGGATGGAGAAATTGAAACATAAAGGATAATTGTGCTGAGCCTAGGACACACAGTGCAATTTTTTTTCTATTCCAACATTTATTACAAGACATGGCGACGGTACCCTCAAGTTTTTTCAACTTATTTTCATGCCACCAACAAAGACGAATGCATGAACAGACAACAGACATACTCATTTTCACCTGAGTTAAGTGAGGAAATTCGTGTTTTAAGTGCCTTTACCAATCGCACAAAATCTTGTTTGTTCCTAGCCGAACGTTCCGTCGTTACGTAACACGACCCCCAATGGTACACTGTTTACGTCTTTCAAACAGAAAATCGGGCATCTACAGAAAATTGTTGCAAGGAAAGGGTGAAAATACATTCCAGAAATGCACTGACCATTTGGTAGACTTGGGGTGTTATAGGCTGCCCTGACGACGATGCCTTGCGGGTCTGTTAGGCCTAAGCCGCCGACCGAGCCGTATGTGTGGCTTTGCAGTGACTTGCCGATCCTGCAAACAGAAGGCATGTCAACTGTTATCCACAAATCTTCATTTGTTTATTTGTTTATTTTGATTTTTCACAAAGTGAAAGGGAAGGCAAAACAGGTGCATACGCACCTTTACAAGTTGCCCTCCCCATGCAAAAACACATATACAACATAAAAATTTACATACTAGTAGTCAATAACAACAAGAATAAAAATACACAAAATAGGCAATCAATATAGAAGGTTAAGCATAATTCAAATATATATAATAAGTAGTATAAATTGTGTTGAAACAAGACTTGGTGAGGTCTAGAAGCAATAAAAGAACTACACCCACAAGAAGTGGTCCAAGTACATGGCAGGTCAAGACTGTAATGTGTGTTAAATCTGTTGAATGTGGCCTTGAGCAATTTGTGTTTAAATTCATACATTGACACCATCGTATTTGAATCACCACATGACGACAAAAGTACGTACGTATGAATGCCATCGAAGTTAGTCGCTGTCCAGTACAGGTACCCCTCATCCACGGCTATGCCGGACATGGACGGGCTGCTGTCTGCGTGTGTGAAGACCCTCCTGGCGTTGCTGCCAGTCACTTCAGAGGTAAAGATCTGACCAGTACTCCCGATGCACCAGAATATCCGGTTTGCTGTGGAAGGTAGACATTGGTTTATTAAGATGCACTTTAGCCCCATGAGGGGCTATTCTTCCAGAGCTCATTAGACAAGACAATGCAATACATAAAACATATGCATGCCAAGCACAGATTACATACAATTACAAGTTACTAATATGCCACTACAAGATAAACAATTATTATCAGGGTTAAACCATTAAGTTCCGTAAATTGATGTATTATTTTCTTAAACTGCCTCACATCAGATACAGTCTTAAATTCACTTGGCAATATGTTCATTTGGCAACAGCTTTATAGATCTGTAGGCGAACATCCTCTTTCCACTGTTGTTCTTATGTTTGGACAATGAATAGTCGTACATGGATTGCCTAGTGGAATACCTGTGCGATGCATGAACTGGTACCAGAGATTTAATGTCAGATCAGACAAATCTACGAATGCACTACATCTCTATCACCGGTATCGAGGTCAGGCTGGTTTGGTCTGGGGCGATGATATGATTGGTACATATATGTAAATGTTATGCACAGTTACTTAAGAACATAACGGTACTTTACAGAAAGTGTGTCCTGCTAACACAATGTTGCAGAAGTCAAACTGACCTGGTGCGTCCAGAGCCAGTCCTGTGGGCCGCCTACCAAATCCAATGTTGACAATCACAGATCTCTGACTACCGTCCAATCGCGCACGATTAATCGTAGGCCGGGTTCCCCATTCGATCCAGTATATCCACCTACATGGGAAGAGGTTATAGAATAACTAGTGTTTTGTTTTCCGTTACTGATGTGCCATATTGAATATGAGAACTGTAGGCTTGGATTCGTTTCGTTTCACTTAAATTATCTCAAAAATAAGTCACAGGTTACATGGTTGAAATTGTCAAGATTTTGTTGTATTTTGGCAGACGCGAACGTTACATATTGTACAGGTGACAGTTTATAATCATGACTATAGGCATAACTAACCCAGCGGTTGGATCCACTACGATCGCCCTGGGTTTGACCAGCCCCGTGGTGATGAGTGACCTCCTGAAGCTGCCGTCCAGCCGGGAGACGACGATCCGGTTTGTTCCGGCGTCTGTCCAGTACAGGTTCCGGGAGATCACGTCCACTGCGATACCTGCCGGTTCTGGAAATTTAAGTGGAATATGTAGGAACGACAGCGATTCATGTAAAGCGCACATTGTAAAATTCGTCCACAAGTCTGGTTGAAATCTTTCCTTCAACCTATGCATATTAGTTGTTATGTCATTGTCCGCAATCATCTGCTAGGAAACCGATATAGCACAAGTGTGCCTTCGTCCTTCGATGGAATGTCAATAAAATTGTTTCTTTATGTTTCTTTAATGTTTCTGTATAGTTTCTTTAGTTTCTCTGGTTGTCTTCGTCAGAAGGACTATGAAATTGTCTCGCCGGAGTGTGGGGAACTGCGGATTTTGCGATATAACTCTGGAAGGCATGATTCGACGTCCATGATTTTTGGCAGGCAGATTACCGCTGTTAAGGCCGAAGTCAAGTACAAGTTTTGGCTTCGTGGGGGGTCCGTGCGTCACGTTAGTGCACCTTTTGTGTTTGTGGCTTGTTAGCAAGATAACTCAAGTATTTGTAAAATGTTGATTATAATTCTTGGTGTGGTGCTTACTATTGTCGGGACCAAGGTTAAGTTCGTTACTGAGCTTCGTGGGGGGTTTCGTTGTGACTACAGGGGGCATTTTGTTAATTTTTCTTGTGAGCAGGATAACTTTTGTATGTGTGGATGGAAGTTAATGAAATTTGATAGGCATATTACTGTCGTGGTCTCCAAGATTGAGTTCAAAGATGAGAGTCGTGGAGGTCGTTATGTCCCCGTAATAGGACCTTTTGTGTTTAGAAATCCCCCACCTACATCTGCTTGGAGACAGCCGACAGCTGGATATAGCGGGGAACCCCATAATGGGATGGGATCAGATGACGTTACATTGAGGGATTGTACTATAACTTCAGCAGGGGGAGGATAGGTTGGACATATGTCAGGTTATTTTCTACGGCCACACCAAGTAATTGCTATGGATGACGTCCACTGGAGACCTTAAATCTAATTACCTTAAATTTAAGGCAAGCGCGCAATAAAAACACGAAGGGCCGAAAAACGAGATGCCTAGATTTGGAATATACTAACTGTAGAAGTACAAATGTTAGGACACAAAGAACACAAGAAACACATAAAGACAAATTAACAAAACAGCAGTAGTCACCCTGTTCTGATTCTTCCTTTATAACATCTTCTCTTATTATATTTTGCGGCGCTGTCGTGACACTTTCAACACAGTAAGAATTTCTTGAACGTTTTTTTCCAGTAACAGTCCAAACTCAAATAACGTAGGGGGGGGGGTCTAACACGGGTGACGACGCATCTGTATAATCTGCGGCAAACCGTTTCAGGGTGTTCTGTACCATAAAAATAGTACAGAGATTCTTTTGTTCTTTAGACCAAATTGATTATTAAAAAGATTGAAGAATACGCATGTTAATTTCTCTAGAACGATGTACCTCTGACGAAGACATGAGATCTCCGACCTCTAGTTCATCATGTTTCAATCAACATACAAAAAATGAAAGTGCTTATTATGAAGAAACGTGACACATAATAGCCACATGTGCACGTGAAATTACAGCAGTATAAGGAATAAAGAAAACAGCAATTTTAAAAATGAAGGATTTCAAAGAAAACAAACCGGATGCTTCCTCTCCATCAAGTCTATTTCCTGGTCCAGCCCCATAAGGAGATCGGCCAACCTGGCTATTCGCTCCGTTCACGCTGGTCCAATAAATATAATCCCCCTGTGGATTAAAATTATGTATTCGTAGATCCTACATAAAATTGATTCACGCTAAGGTACACAAGTGCTTCAATCTGCTCCATAAAAAAAAACGAGAACATTATGTATGTGTTAGCTAAACGGTATTTCTACGATTGCATGTGTAAACATGAATATACGTCAATTGGATAATTATCATATGGTTAAATTATGTATATCCTCATGTATTATGTGTATCCGCTGTTCCATGGAAACATTTAACTCTTGTTGGCTACGTTCAGTGATCCTCATGGACTATAGTACAAATCTAAAAGTGCATGTATTGAAATCTTACCTTTTTATCGTAATCAACGGCTGTCATCTTATGTACACCACCACCGATGGTGTACCTACCCGCTGAAAAATTGTTATCATTTGACGTGGTGAGCCGAGTTATGGTCCCGCTTGTTGGATCGGCCACTAGGATCAGCTTCTCTCCTGGCAGGGGGGCTTTGGCTCCTGTAGTGAGGTATACAGAACATTCTTCTGCTCACTTTCTTTATTTGACGCAAATATTTTAGTTATAGCAGATATTCTGCCAGCACAAGGATATTAGTTTAGATGTTTCCTCTGTTGTGGCATATCGGTAGATTACACAAGTAACTAGAAAGGCCTACATTTGCTTTGGAGCAAATGTAGCGGATGGTTTCACCACATTTTACGACATGGCATAGAAGGAAGGAAAAATACAAGGGAAAACAATTCTTTACATTGGTATAGCTATAGTATGAAGTGACAACAGTTATATAGCCATTATTGGTTAGGATTTTTAATTGCATAATGCAAACTGTTGATCTTCAAGATAAAAAGAAGCGCCTATTTCTATGTCAACAAAAACGCTTAGCAGAACACCATATAAAATGTGTCAAAAAACTTACCAGTGCCCCTGTATTCACTGTCCACAGGTTTGCCGAGCTGCAAGGAGTTTATGTCGCCCTTCACAACTTCTGCTTTGATGACATCCTCGGTTATTGTAGAAGCTGTCTCGTCAGGTGACGAATCCATGTCGGAATATTCATGTGCGACTGCTTGGTGACCTGGAATGAAATCAAGTGAAGCAAAGACAGCGCAAAGATGAGTGAATTGCAATTAAAGTGTGCATGACGTTGGTCAGCACGAAGATGGAAATACACTTCCTCTCGTGATCCGTTATCCACTTTGCTCTATGCAAAGAACGTTAAAAAACAAACACAGAGTTGAACCAATACCTGACCACTTTCCACATACCTGACCAGATCCGAATCAAAGAAATATATGTATTTCTATCTATAAAACTTAAGCTTATATATATAATATTAATATATTGAAAATAAAGTCAAGGCTATATAAATTTTTAAATGTTACAACGTGCTATGTTTCAAAAGTTGAATTTGCATGTTGTTAATGTCTCGTCACGAAACTTTTGCTAACAATTATGTAAAAATATCATAAAATCATACACTTACAAATCAGCTGGATGGTCAGTGCTGCCCACAGGAGCAGTACGGCCCTCCCCCGTGTCCCCAACATAGTCTACATAGAGTCGTGAAGAGGGTAAAAACAATATCATTCAACGTGCTCATGGTTGCGCACTACATTTTTGAAAATGAGCAAAATGTATGGAATAGCATGTTTTCTGGTACAAGGGGAGAATAAGACTGCTAAGGTTCCACATTGATAGATAAATATCAACAAACAGACCACAAAAATGATCCGCAATGTCTACTGAGATTGTGTGAACTGCTGTAAAATACAGGTTCTGCCTGCGCCCTATATAATATCTTTCAAATACCTTTTCTGGAATGACAATTGCCTCTGCGTTGCAGTGCTAACGTTGTTTGTCTACATCGTAAAACGTTAACATAATATATAACTGCGATAATGATCTATTGTTCACCCGGCCGTTCTAGGAACATTCAAAAACTTGAAAAAGAAAAAAAAAATCACACCAATCGACTTGCCGACACAATGACTGCATGTATGAAACAAGCAAAATAACACGTAAACAAGACGGGATTCCGGATTAAAGGTAATGCCAATGACAGAAATACAAGTAAAGTAAGTTGTTTCTGTAAACTGTCACGCGCCAGCATGACTGGCATAATGAACTAAAAAATCTTATATTGCTATGTGATCGACTGACAGCTTTCGGCATAGGAAAACGTGTTACAATCCTACCTTCACTTGTTGCCGAGGGTGCTTGGTGCTTCTTCGGAAATGTTTTCGCCCAACTTCTTGATGTGTTGTAGAGTAGACTTGTCTCTTCCTATGCGCTGCCCTGTGTGCGGGGTCGTCCTGTGTTCTTGGCGGTTCCAAGCTGACTGTCGCTTGGCGAATGTTCCTCTGGCAAGCGTATCGCGACAGTCGCTCTTTTATACTTTTCTCGACGACCGCAAATCACGACGTACAGATATTTTTATCACAAAAGATGAGATCATGATATGATCTAAATATGGCTCGAGGTGCCCTACCCTTCTTGCCACACCCGGTCAACGAACCCTACGGTAGTGTAATTAGTGTAATTCAACGTCGTGTAATGTGACACTGAGATTTGTATGATCTCTTTTAACAGTTTAAACTATCAGAATAAGTACAGTAACTGTAGTTTGTACAGTCAGACCTGCACTAGTGACCATCTCTACTACTTAAATGGTTCTACTCTACTTATAATTAGAATATTTTCCTGATGACACAAGTAGCATTACGTATCCTTACACTACTCTGCTCAGTTATTCAAGAGAGTTTCAAGAAAGCACCACAACACTGGCAGTGTAGAGGGATTCAAACATAAATATGGCAGTGAACAACTTCTGATTAAACGAATTGATAGTACATATTTTAGTTAGAGGTAACACACTCTCGCTAAATAGATTTTCGACTGGTAGGTCAAAGTTACACACTACATTAACTCCATTGAAGCGGAATTTTCCACTCCATTGTTCAGTGCTGGGAGGCTCTATACGTCAGCAGATTCAAAATTACATTTGACTGGTAGGTCATAATTACACAGTTGATTACACCCGTGAACTCTAGTCCCCCCCCCCGAACGGCAATGGTGACCAAACGTTCATAAGCTGTCCAGTCATCAGCTGTCATAAAGTAGTTCAAATGTAAGTAAAGTTTTTAAGAGAATACCTCACAACTTCATACACGTAACTAAGGCATCATTATTCCTGCTATTTTACACAAATCTAACCATCTGAATGATATTGGGAGAAAAACACAAAAAGTGGCCTAACAAGCAGTTTCTGTTCTAAGATTTGGTATATGTGTAACGTTTTAATCATACTTAAGACCAAAATTTCATCTTAGTATTTTTGGTCATTAACTGAACACCATTGTTCAGTGCTGGGTGGCTCTGTATTTACATTTGACTGGTAGGTCATGATTACACAGTTCATTACACCCATGAACCCGGGTGGCCCCCAGAACGGCAATGGTATATTCCCGGCAGCTACGTTCATAACTGAGTCGATCTGTAGATACGTTAACACTTGTCCGGTCACTAGCGGTCATCAAGAAGTTCAAAAGTAAGTTTCTACAAAAGTAAGTTAAGATTCTACTAAAATATCATAGAATGTCATAGAATACCCTCGAAATAAAGATCATAGATAATGAACCATCATTTTTCGCAAACCTCAATATCTGAATATTATCTTGCAATCAGCATTTCTTAACTGTCAGGGAGTTGTAAAGACATCCTTAGGCCTGTTTCCCATGGCCATTTTTACATGTGATTATGTGTAAATAAAGCTGAAATAAATAAATAAATAACATATGGAATAAAAACACAAAAGTGGCCTCACAAGCAAATTCTGTTGTAATATTTTGTATCTATTTTATTCATGGTAAGTTTTTGATTAAACCTCAATTTAGAAAATGACGTCTTGGTGCATATGTAGTTTTTGTGGGTTGCAGCGAGCGTAAGGGAAGTTACATCCTGCATTTGCCCGGTTACTCTCGGACAATTCATAAATTGAACTCAGACAGAAACGGAATTTTCCACTCCATTGTTCAGTGCTGGGTGGTTCTGTATTTACATCTGACTGATAGGTCATGATTACACAGTTCATTACACCCATGAACTCTAGTGCCCCCCCCCCACCCCCACCCGAACGGTAATGGAACATTCCACAGCTACGTTAATAACTTGGTGGGTCTGTAGGTTGTCCGGTTAATAGCGGTCATCAAGAAGTTCAAAAGAAAATGGCTGACAACTTAACACAGTTGAAGCACCATTATTCCTGCCACTTACGCAAATCTACATCGGAATAATAAGCGTTTTTCAATTAAACAACACACATTGTAGATTCCAGTATCCTCCTAAATCACAACTTAACACCATTACCCATTCCCCAAACCCTTCAGCTACATTCAATGCAAAGGTACATAATGTTTTACGACTTGCAAAGAGCAGCATCGAACAGAAATAAACATCAATCCTTACAACCCTGACTCGGTGCGAGCATGGAGAGCAAACCTGGATATTCAGTTCATTGCATGTGTACCTTCAACAGCAGCTTATGTCAATTATTACCTATCCAAAGCATAACCTATACAACTCTACCAACAATCTAAAAATTGTGAAAACACATAACTGACCCTACAGATCAAAATTTCATCTTAGTATTAGTCTCACATGTAGTTTTTGTGGATTGCAGCAGGCCTCTGTAGAAAGTTAAATCCTGTACTTGCCCGGTTAATCTCGGACGTTGGCTCACAGTTCGTTAATTATACACGCTTCATTAACTCAGTGAACTCTGACGGACGGAACTTTCCATTGTTCAGTGCTGGGTGGGTGCGTACGTCACAGGATTACTAGTATAATCTTCTACTTGTCCGGTTACTGTAGGACAAAGGCTGACAAGCAATTAAAAAAAAAAAAAAAAAACAAGCCGGTCGGGACCTGTAACTTACAGTGGATCGAAAATACGAATAACATAATTGTTCAAAGTACATATTATCACATCCAAGCACTACGATGTAAATGAAAAACTATATAAATGTGTTCATACGTGTTTCAAAAAGAGAGAAGAGATCCGGTAGATATAGATGTATACGTAGCACAGTAACACTTGTTCCTTCTACCCTTGTACCTCAGTATCTAACTTAGTGCATTTGGCCCAGGCGTGAATATGCAATAAAGTTACGTTAATTGTCATTGTTAATAATTTCGAAATCACTTTATTAAAAGGACCGTACTAGTGACGAACACTAAAAACGCTTGCAATAAATAACATCACATTCTGTGATTAAACATAGTTTCCTAGTTTTGGAAAAATCACATCGTCAGATGTTCTACAGGTCGTGCATGACTAATAGAAGTGGTTAGGTTTTATTTTGGGTAACACATTGACTGATAGGTTGATTTTACATACTTCATTAAACCTATTGAATACCGACAGAAATGTGATTTTCCACACCATTGTTTAGGGTGGGGTGTCTCTGTGCGTCAGATTTAAACTGTGTACTTGCCCGGGTACTCTAGGACAATGGCACAGACTTCATTCTATACATCGGAATAAGTATTGGACGATGGCAGACAACCAGTTAATGACAACCAGTTAATAAGATACTCTCCAAGCAGAGGTTATGGGGGAATGATCGTTACCTTATTATATATGGCCTTTTTTTTTTTTTTGGTGTTGTTTTTTTGGTCGCTTCCCCCACCAACGTCTGTGGCTAATGGATACTGCCTGGCCAATTTGATACTGTCCTTTTGCCACCGAAAGGGATCTGCTTGGAGATCATTAATAAGATACAGTAAATTATGCCATCCCTGAGATAGTTCTTTAGTTGGAAAACGGGAGGGTTAATTCCATAACGCTAACGTTTGATCATACCGAAATGAAGCAGGCGTTCCAGAAAATAAGCCCCCCCCCCACCCACATACCTGAACGCCTGAATAGGAGGCAACGAGTAGGGGTCTCCTGTAATCAGCGGCAACCAACAGAGCTAAAGCTTAACAACATCAGGGATATTACAAACCTTTTAGATAACAGCATGCTAGCAACAGACAGCAACAACCAATGTTCCCCTTCAGTGTGTTTTATTTCAGACTGACATCAAAATTAGCAAACAAGAAGTATCCACTTCATAGAAAACAGTAGTTTTTACAGATAAAAATTCACATCAAGAACTACCGTTGATTACATGATATGACGGACAAAATGACTAGTTTGAATACACCATTGCAGATTATATATAAAAATGCTTTTTGTCCAAGTACATCATCAGTCCTATACCTACATAATGATGCCTTTGTCTTTATTGTCTAACCATGGGCTATATACAGAAACACCACGAGCAAACGTATAAAAGTTGTTGCATGTAAGAAGTTTGAAACTTTAAATCATTCTCTACATTCGTGCTGTGCTCTGAATGTCCGATATTTATATTCCATTAAATAGTTGTACTAATTAAGATTAAAATCGTGATTATTACCAAGTTGACTTTTAACATTATCAGTACATTAGATTATAGCAATAGACGAAGAGCTCACTGGAGCTGTGTTTCTAAGATCAGAATTTTTTTTACATCATATCACCAAATTACCTATATCTTTTGTCAAAACTTTAGTTTTATATTAATTCATACCACTGCGGCCCTTACAGATACATATATAATATGTACCACCAAACGTACCTCTTCTAATTAGCTAAGATTATCTTTTATACAAACATTTATTGCTACGAAGTCGAAATGTCAACGAAGTCGATATGTCAACAAACTTTCTTGTATAACTATCATCCACAATGTCCGTCTAAAAACACTCAATATCCTCATTTGTTCTATTCGTCTCAAGATCGCTCAATTAACCACTTGACAGTTTTCTCAGCTTTCGGTCAGGTCATCCTCAGCTCACGGACTTGCGGCTGAAAGGCGAAACAAAACCCTTCATTATTACCCAATCCACAAGGACTATGCTTGAAGACCTCAACTTCTATTAAGGTCAAGCAACCAAAGGAAGATCAAAACAACTCGACAGCAAACCAAACTCATTTTAATTAAAAGGTAGTTATTCTAAAACGATACATTCTATTCATTCTTTATTTCAGGCTCAAAGGCCCATATCATTTCAAAATAAAAACTTTATTGTTAACTTTATTTGTTGGGAGAAGAAGAAGAGGAGGATGAAGAAGAAGAAGTAGAAACCGAGCAAAAACAACATGTTTTCCTTCTGCGAAGGTGAACATAAATATGATGGTACTCACCTCTCTGGCAGACGTAGTTCCTGCGAGAATTGCAGGAGTAGTAGAGCCACTGGTAGGACGACGAGGGCCACATTATAACGCAGTCCTTCCAGTGGTTGTTCACGTTGCTGTTCGTACGGAAAGGCCGGAAGCTGCCCAGAGCTGTCCCGTCGCTGTGAACAAACGTGCCCTCCACCGCCCGGTCACTCAGTCCGATATAGTGGGGCCTGGAATACACAACATACACAACATTTACATGGACCACAACATACACACACGAACCTTGTACAAGCGACCGTCCCATCCAATACCCCTACCCTCACCGTGCTGGAGCCCTCAACCAATTGCACGAAAAGGGAAGAAGAAGAAGAAGAAGGAATAAATGCGACATGCTTATCGGGTCGCAACTACAACCTACAACGTATACAACGTATGCAAGGCATACAGCACATACAGTGTATACAACGCATACAAGGTATACAACGCATACAGTTGACACGCACAAATAGGCATTCGTTCATTAGTGAACGTGTCGACTTATTCCATGGCAATCTATTGTGTCATTCCAAAGTAATGTACGTAGAAATATATCTGTTAAATGTGCAGACTAGACACGTTCTACCTTGTGCGTTAAGGTTATCATAATAATATTATTGTATTAAAGTTTCCAACCATTCTTTATTCACGAGAAGCTCAAATCGACTCTTTTCATTAAGATCATGAGGGGAGAGGTAAGGGTCTGACAAGATTTATCAAAAAGACAAAGTTTACATCATTTAAAGTCCGATGAAATCTATAGACACAGATAGATTTTACACATACATGGTATACAAAAAAACGTACATAGTCATGTTCTCCCCATTTGACCTTTGTTGTATTTAATCGAGAGCGACAACTCACCTGCGGTTTGTGGTAGCGATGGTCATCTTGATGAAGTTGTGCTCCTCCTCGCTCTTCACGCACGCCAGGCGAGCGCCCCTAGCGTCGCAGTCTGTCTCTGCAGTCGCCACGACGTTCCTCACGGCTGTGGGAGAGAACCAGTAGCACTGATCTCCGAACAGCCGGAATCCGGAGGGGCAAGCTGTGGGGGAGATGGCATGGCATCGTTAGAGAGACCACCTTAACACATCAACGATTAATAGCATCCTAATCGGATCTGCATTTAGTAGTAGAGCCTGATAGATCTATCTGGATTCTCTACCAGTAGAATCTGTTAAATTGATCGGGATCCCTACCAGTAGAACTTGCTAGATCCATCTGGATCCCTAGTATTCCCTACCGGCAGAAACTGTTAGATCTGTCTGGATCTCTACCAGTAGAATCTGCTAGATACATCTGGATCCCTAGTATTCCCTACCAGAAGAATCTGCTAGATCTATCTTGATCTCTACCAATAGAATTTGCTAGATACATCTGGATCCCTAGTATTCCCTACCAATAGAATCTGCGGGATCTATCTGGATCTCTACCACCTAAGAACTTGCTAGATCGATCTGGATCTCTACCACCTAAGAACTTGCTAGATCGATCTGGATCTCTACCACCTAAGAACTTGCTAGATCGATCTGGATCTCTACCAGCTAGAACTTGCTAGATCCATCTGGATCCCTAGTATTCCCTACCAGAAGAATCTGCGAGATCTATCTGGATCTGGATCAAAGTCAGGTAGCAAAGAAGATGACATTTTATTTTGACATATGTATAAGTTGAGAAGACCTACTCAGTTCACAGTTGACGCCCGCGAACCCATGCGGACATGTACAGGTGTAGGACAGCTGACCGTCCGTGCAGACGCCGCCGTTCTGGCACGGGTCGGGGTCACATTCGTCCGTTTCTGGGGACAAATAATACAAACCGAGTTGTACTTACAGGAGATGATGCACAATAGAATGGAATAGAATCAAGGACATTACTCAGTATGTAGGGTGTCTTTGATAGGATAGGATAGGATAGGATAGAATATAATAGAATAGAATAGAGTAGAGTAGAGTAGAGTAGAGTAAAGTAGAATAGAATAGAATAGAATAGAATAGAATAGAACAGAATAGAATAGAACAGAATAGAATAGAACAGAGAAAATAGAATAGAATAGAACAGAATAGAATAGAACAGGGAAAATAGAATAGAATAGAATAGAATAGAATAGAATAGAATAGAATAGAGTCATCGGTAGAGCCTGCTCGGAATATTCTTTGAAAAAGGTACAAAATAATGTAAGAAATGTCATTGAGCAAGAGGACTGCTTCTCACGATGCCGTTGTGATGCTAATGATGATTCTTGAAATGTTTTTGTGTCCTAGATTAAAACTATAGGATCAAGCATCAGCTACAATGATTGCCTCTTTTACACAGTAGAGCATTGCTTTTACGGCCTATATCAACATCTACGTAAATACAGCTGCACTACGGGTGGTTTTATGAGGCAGCATCTGACGCACCTGTCTCGCAGTGTTCCCCCAAATACCCCGGCAGACAGTAGCACCTGTAGGACGTCTCTCCGTCTATACAGATGCCGCCCTGGTTACAGGTGTCCTCTTCACAACGTTCAATAACTAAACAAAACAAAACAAAACAAAACAAAACAAAACAAGATCAAATGAAATCAAATCTTTATTTAAAATCAACTCAGCAGACGGGCTGAATCACTTCAGACACACCTTAATTGCGTAGGAATTTTACACATAGAATAAAAGAATACTATACACCAAAAAGCAGTTACTCAAGCAACTAGATATGATTTTGGAAATGGTCAGACGTTTCAGGTAGTATTCAGGAGTAACTGCTTTTTAGCGTATAGTATTACTTGGATGTCTAAGCTTCATCGACGTAAAACAATACTAGTATTAACATTTGCAACAATTCTAATACAATTGCACATTCACAGTGTTTACTCTGCGCTTAGTAAGTCTTTCGTGTTTCTCACAATGACACAGTTTTTGTGCCGGTCAGTCCTACTGAGTGGAAGTTTATATTGAGTTTTTCTGTTCCTCAGATTGTACTACGGGTTCTTTTTAGGCGGGAGAAAGGGAGGGATCTCGTAGTATCCTTTTCAGTTCAGATGGTAAAATGTTACTCAAATACACAACTGGTGTTATGTATATGTAGCATGTACCTTTGGGCACGTATCTGCAGTAAGCATGTTGTATTGAATGAGGGTAAACAAGTATACTCCAAGCTCTTAGTATAAAGTCTTACCTCCTGGAGTTGTGTTTGGGGTATCTGTAGGCGGCACGACAGCTGTAAAACAATGATATTTACGGTTATTTGGCTTGCCAAACTCCACGTTGTTATTTGATAAAAGATAAAAACACAACAGACAACGAAGATGCTCGTAGTAATCAGGAAAATGTGCGAGCGTGAAAATTTAAGGTTAGTGAGTGTATTCACAACCACTTGTTTCATAAGAGCCGACGTTCCAATGACCCTCAGTCATCTTCATCAGGACTATTGTTTACATGACACTGCCATGATTTCATGATTTTGAGGAAGACTTGGTACCGGCTCCCAAGTCTAGATAGATACAGTGAACTCCTCCCCTGAGTGTATAGTGAATGAGCCCCCGGGTCACAGAAAGTAGGGCATCCGGGGCAGACAGGTTTCCGCAAGGGTTTCCAGGAATGGGGGCATACGTATATGTCAGAGAGCAGAGCTGGGAGACATTACTGTGGACATTCCATGCCTGTGGAAAAAATTCCTGTACAATTCCTAGAATTCTTGCAAACTGTCCACAATACTATACCATTAGGCTCCTCCCTGAGACGTCGCCAAAAAAAAGATACTCACGGTACTCGCAGATGTAAGACGACCTCGTGTTGCACGGCACCGGCTGCCAGTCGTATCCGAAGATCTCACTCATGCGCACACAGTCCTTCTTCCTGCTGTTCCAGGTCCCGTCCGCCCACTCGTTAAAAGGGTCGCTGACAAGATCGCCGTCGACGTACCTAAAAACAATAAAACAACAGTTTTTTTTTATTCCAACATGCACTCGGGTGCGGCAAAATGTTTTCTCCCAGCAGACAAACTCCCCCGGTATGTTATCTCTCTATTTGGCCGATTTCTACTCTTTCCAGCCGCCTCCCGAAGCCTGGTAGAGGCTAATGTATTGATGTGGTGACAACGGCACACTCAAGTTTTTTTAAATTTACTTTATTATCGTCACCAACACAGAGGACAATACAACACTCAATTCCACCTGAGTAAAGTGAGGAGAGTCGTGTAAAGTGCCTTTCCCAAGGGCACAAGATCGTTGGCATGTCAGGACTCGAACCCGGGACCTCTTGGTCCGAGTCGAGCACTCTGCCGCTACGCCACACGACCCCACGTCATTACAGCTGATTTGCAAAAGGTGTGAATGCTCCTTACTTCCACACACCCTCTGTGGTGCCATCGTCTATGCCTATCCAGGGAGAACCGCCACCTTCACTCTCGACATAGTCCAGCAGAACCTCTCGACTCTGGGGCTGCCACCCTAACCATTTCACCAACTACACCATAGGTATACCTACCTGCCAAAGTGCTCAGGCCAGGATCTGGCGCCTAACTCCCCTCCGACTGGTTTCTCCAGCCCGTTTTAGCTACACCATAACATTATATCTTAATCTGATTTGCAAGTTTAAAAGGTCCTTACTTCCAAACACCCTCTGCGGTGCCATCGTCGATTGAACCAAACATCTCTCAGTTCTGGGGTTGCCACCACCCTAACTACAAGGCCAGCAATACTACAAACCATACCACATATTTGAACTGAAGTTTGAAATTTCCTTACTTCCAAACGCCCTCTGTGGCGCCATCGTCGATGCCTATCCACGGGGAACCGCCACCTTCGCCCTCGACATAGTCGAGCAGGAACTGGTGCGTGCTGGGCCGCTTCACTACGGCCAGACGCCCGTACAGGTCCAGGTCAGCGCAGGAGCGCACGGCCTCGCTGTAGGTGGACGGGCTCGTGAGGAGGCAGTAGCACGTTCCCTCGTGGTGGAACCACCCAGGTTCACACACTGCAGAATGGCGTGCATGTTACTATTTTAATCTACGTATTCTTAATGATGATTTTTAAATGCTGATAAAGTTTTTAATCTACGTATTGTAATGATGTTTGTATATTCATGGTTGTAACATGTCAATGTAATTCAGACGTGCCCGAAGCACTTCGGCACGTCTGCCATGTTGATGTTGAATAAAGATTTGATGAATATATTAATTAAAGAACTGCAATTTCACATAATGATCTATTTTTTACATGTCATCTTTGCATTTATTTTGGAACCTCCGCGTGTTGTCCTGTTTTGTTACTTGCTATTGACTGTATACTTCTTTAATTGTCAGTAGTGAGGTTGAAATTAGAAATTTGGTTGCCTAATAACACTGCGTCTTTTACTTTTTACTTTGCTTGATAAAAAAGTTTCAAATGGACTAACGAAGCTTACGTCAAGTCATACTACTGTCTAAAACCAACTCTTAACATGCAGCGTGCAAATAGTTATACTTGTAAAATAAAACAAAAGCAAGGTATGGACGCACCACTTTTTGTTGCCCATGTAGTTTGTGCTGTCGTTGGGGCAATTTCGCAGTGTGCTCCCCAAAAGCCGTCAGGACACCTACAGGTGTAGGAGTTGATCCCATCGACACACTGGCCGCCATTCTGACATGGGTTGGGAGAAGGGCAGTTATCGCCATTGGTCTCACAGCGGTTTCCACTGAAGCCTGTGGCACAGCGACATGTGTAGGAGTTGATCCCATCGACGCATTGGCCGCCATTCTGACATGGGTTGGGAGAAGGACAGTCGTTGATGTTGGTCTGACATCTGGATCCACTGAAGCCATTTGCACAGCGACATGTGAAAGTGTTGATCCCATCGACACATTGGCCGCCATTTTGACATGGGTTTGGAGAAGGACAGTCGTTGATGTTGGTCTGACAGCGGTCTCCACTGAAGCCAGTGGTACACCTACATGTGTAAGAGTTGATGCCGTCGACGCATTGGCCGCCATTCTGACATGGGTTGGTAGAAGGGCAGTCGTTGATGTTGGTCTCACAGCGGTTTCCACTGAAGCCAGACAGGCACCTACATGTGAAAGTGTTGATCCCATCGACACACTGGCCACCATTTTGACACGGATTTGTAGGACGGCAGTCATCGTCATTGGTCTCACAGCGGGGTCCACTGAAGCCAGGCGGACAGGTACAAGTGTACGCTGTGAGAGTCAAAGAACTGCTCTGTGGCTGACCGACGCACTTGCCGCCGTTTTGGCACGGATTGGGCAGACAGGCTGGAACAATAACGACAACAATAATGATATCAAATCGAAAACCCGTCCGGAACAACTCAAACTAGTTTCTCCACACACACACACACACACACACACACACACACACACACAGAGAGAGAGAGACACACACGCGCGCGCGCGCGCGCGCGCGCAATTCGTTTGTATTATGTTTTTCTTTAAAGTCTTATAATGTCATTTTGTTTCTTCCAGTTAGCGTATACGTGTATATCAATAAATAAACATCTCTTTACCAGCGGAAACACAGGTTCGTCCGTCCGACCCAAGGCTCCATCCGTCCTGACACGCGCAGGTCCGCCCTCCGCCGGGGACGGGGAGACACAACTGAGTACAGTTTCCGTTAGACGCCGAGCAGGCTGTTCTCAAAGACAAACAAGGGATCGTTAGACTTCTGACGGGCCACAACCCTGCCAATCAACTGAATCTCGATCCACACCCACCCACTTCCAATCCTCGCTGTAGAGCAGGCTGTTCTCAAACACAAAATCGGAGATGTCAGACTTCTGCCAGGCTACAACCCTGTCAATCAACTAAAACCCAATCCCCACCCACCGGCTCTCTTTCAATCCTTGTTGTCAAGCAGTCTCTTCCCAGAGACAGACAAGAAATCTCGTGATATTTCAGACTTTTGCCGGGCCACAACCCTGCCAATTAACTGAAACCTATCCCCGCCTACCCACTCATTTCCAATCTTCGCTGTCGAGCAGGCTGTTCCCAGAAACAAACAAGAAATCTCGTGAGATTTCAGACTTATGCCGGGCCACAGTCCTGTCAATCAACTGAAACCCAATCACCGCCCATTCACTTCCAACCTTTCCTACAACTACTACTACTACTACTACTACTACTACTACTACTACTACTACTACTACTACTACTACTACTACAAGCCTATACAGCGCATAGAGCAATACAAAGCATTCACACAACTATAGGGGTCCAGAATAAAGACAACGCGTGATTCCCACTATAAGTCTACATCTCAAAGCGTACTGACCGTTCGGTTGAGTTGGTGTGTTTGCCGTTGTCCTGACGTGGATGTCGTGAAGCTTTTGAAAGTGTGGAATGTTGAGGTTGACGTACCCTTGCAGATTCTTGCCGATCCTGGACCGAAAAACAAGTTATCAGCTGTTACCAAAGACACAAAGTTGTGTGGTGCTGATCAGAACTAGAAAGGTAACATTTGCATCATGTTTACCCTCGCATTGTCTAGCCTAGCAAACTGCATTGGACACTGACTGACTCATCATCATCATCATGATATGATGATGATGATGATGATATGATGATGATGATGAGGCAGTCAGTGTCTAATTAAACATGATGCAAATGTTACCATCATCATCATCATCCACTGTATTCTGCATCTGCAGTCGTGAAAAGACGTCCTGCAGCTGCATTCAGTCTTGCATACACGTACATACAAACATCCACTGACTGCCTGTGTACCTGTGAATGCCTGGTACATTCCATGCTGTCCAGTAGAGGTATGTCTCGTCCACAGCCATGCCGAACACGTGCGCGTTGTTGTGTGTGAACAGCTGGGTTGGGCCTGGGTTGCTGCCGGTCACTCCGGAGGTCCAGATCTGACCAGTAGCGCCGTTACACCAGTACAGCCGGTTTGCTGTAGCACAGAATCACACAGATACAAGCCAATCGTCATTCTAAAAATCGTATCGTAGGCTGGTTCTACCTTATTAGTACTAGTATTTATTAGAAATACCAAAAATAAACGTGTAGCCAGTGTTTGGACTATTCCAAACGCTTCAAGAATGAAATGATGACGAAAATTTTTTAAAAAATGTGACAAATACTGGCAGCATATCAGACAAATTTCCTAATCAAAAAAAAAATTTGTTGCCACTCTGAAACTGCATCGGATTGCCTTTAACACTATGAGCAGATAACACATCACACTGACCTGCTTTGTCCAAGGCAAGGCCGTTGGGCCATTGGCCTACTCCTACGTTGACAATGACAGACCTCTGGGTGCCGTCCAACGCCGCACGCTCAATCTTAGCTGATCCTCCCCAGTCAGTCCAGTACATGTAACTACGTTAGGAAAGGTTTATGTTAAGATTATAGACTGTACCACCCTCTTCTATACGAAATTAGAGTTATTTTACCATTGTGGCAACGACTTCAACTGGCAAAAACTTGCAAAATGTCAGAGTCTTCACTGAACACATCATCGAACTATGAATTTGCAAAGTGTCGAGTTAGGTCATGGTAACATCAAGAAAAAGTCTTCGATCCTCGTCGGTGCTTAGTTTTGTCACAGCCTGCAGCTTGAAAATTCTACGACATTCAAACTCGACCTACAACAAATGTCACCACACCGCGTAAGATGCCATGCTGCTTGTAGACTACTACTACTGCTGCAGATCGAACATGGGACTACAGGGAGATTCTGACTACATCCATGGGTAGCCTGTGTTGACACAATCTCTTGCTGGCTAGGAGCGCGATTTAAACAGATATCCATGGGCAGAATTCAAACTATGGTCGCTACCACAAATACCAAATGCTGGCCGTTACAGATAAAGACACAGATACTGTACGTTACTGTACGTTACTGTTTGCTACTGTACGTTACTGTACGTCACTGTACGTTACTGGTGTACTACGCCGAATGGCGGTTATCTGTAACTGCATAGCCGGTATAACCGCCCTTTGGGGCTACACACCAGCTACCGGCTATACAGATACAGTTACTGTGCGTTACTGTGCGTTACTGTGCGTTACTGTGCGTTACTGTGCGTTACTGTGCGTTACTATGCGTTACTGTGCGTTACTGTGCGTTGCTGTGTGTTATGGTCATCCTGATCAGTGGTACTTACCCAGCGTTGGGGTCCACTACGATCGCCCTGGGCTCGTCCAGCCCCGTGGTGATGAGGTTCTTCCTGAAGCTGCCGTCCAGCCGGGAGACGATGATCTTGTCTATCCCGGTGTCTGTCCAGTACAGGTTCCGGGAGATCACGTCCACTGCGATGCCGTCAGGAACTGGAATGCACAAGAACGACTCATCAGACGACTGACTTGAGCAAAGCCAGATCGACGTTCATCATGACCAATTGAATCCCCATGCTGCATTCATGGAAGGTTTGCGACCATACTAACAATCTGTTTAGTGAGGTCGAATGACCACGTGAATAGACGAGCAAATGGATGTCGAGAAGTGGAGCTTACAAAGCTGGGCTCAGGAGTAAGTATACAACGCAAAATTGATGTGAATTCAGAGCTATATAGAGGTCGAATTTGTTTGTGAAGTTTTGCAACTTACAATTAAAACATGAGTACCACAATCTAGTAATCTACTACGGGAATACCTAATGCCATCTGCCCATCAAGTCTTTGTCCCGGTCCAGGCTCGTAGGGGGTACGGGCTACTGCACTATTCGCTCCGTTCACAGTGGTCCAATAGATGAAATCACTCTGTGTAATATTGAAAAGGCAGTTTAAGATAAAATGTATAATCCTACAATGCATTTCAAAGCGGCACGTTATGTTATCTAGTGTTTAATTCTGAACCAATCATTGATATCCTACCGCTCGGTCGTACTCCACAGCTATCGGCCTGTTTGTTCCGTTGCCGATGTTGTAACGGGCCCACTGAAAGGAGTTATCATCTTCTGTAGTCAGCCGAGTGATGGATCTGTCCGTTGAATCTGCCACCAGCAGCAGCTTGTGTCCTGAAGGAGGGGCTTTGTTTCCTGTTATAGAGGGGGGAGGGGGGCAGATAATCATAATCATATGGCTCTACATTAGAGGTCACGGTCACAGACATACCTTAAACAGAGACGGGTGGCGACACAGGTCATCTGGCACGTATGACCTGCTAGTGCGTACGGTCACGTGTCGGAATCAATCGAAAATTTTTAGTCCAAACTCTTTCCTGTTATGGCGGAAACCGTTTAATTATGTTTACCGAAGGAAAACAAGTTGTTTTTGCTCAGTTTCTTCCTCTTCTTTTCCAGTGACCTCTGACCTGACTAATGACATTATTTGTGTTGGGTTACATAATGTTGCAATTTCATAGTCTGCTCTGCTCCTGTCACCATATACTAGTAGTACATGTATCAGAATGTGTTTGAGTAACAGAGCAGACCATGTCAGAAGGTAAACATTATGCATTTGCTTTGCAAATGTTACTTCTCTGGTCTTATTAATTCTATAATGACAGATCGGCTTTCATGCTGTGATCATGGGCTGTTTGCTTTTCAAAAGGATGTCAAGAGCTGAGCCTCACCAGTTGACGGAGCATACCCGTCCACAGGTTTGCCGAGCTGTAAGGTCTCCACCTCGCCCTTCTCGAACGCCACGGGTGTGGTTCCCTCGGTTTTGTCCACCGCTTGGCCGTGCGGGTCCGCCTCGCCTGGTGCCGCGCCGGAGTAGGGGACAGGGTCTTCCTCTGGGGTTAGGTTCTTGTCATGATCAGGATCTTCGCCCCCCTGTGCGGCTGCCTGGTGGCCTGTGTGGTACATGTAGCATATTAGATCTCCTGCACGGATCATATGCATGCGTATTTGGCCCTTCGGTTGGGCGTTGTAATGGTATGTGTGAAAGTTTTTAACCGTATATTCATCGTCTGCATTTGAAAGTAGCAATTGCTTATATGTTGTTCCTTTGCCAGTCTGCTAGTTTTGCACTGCAAAACATCTTGAATTTGTCAAATATATACAATACCATTGCCTGTACCTTCCTATCAAATAAAGTGGACTAGATGTAGATTTGATAGCAACGTGCCTCGGAGTTGAATACTCGTATAATACTGTATGTTGTATTGAAAAGCTATCTGACAATTCAGTCACGTACACGCCCACTTTATCAGTAACACGTTTAAAATTACCAACTGAATAAATCACAGAGAAACGTACACAGCAGCTGGATAACCACCAGTCCCCACAGCAGGACGGCTGCCCGATGGGTCTGCATCGTCACCTGTACAACATGGAGCAGGTGGTTAATGTAGGACAGGAAGAAGTCAGCTTTAGAAACAAAGAAAAGGCAAATGATATCCGTAGAGCTCTGCAAGGAATCTTATGTGTACTACGTAATTATGATATAATATGGAATGTGTGTGTGTGTGTGTGTGTGTGTGCGTGCACGTCTGTGTGTGTCTGTGTGCGCATGTGTCTGTGTGTGCGTGTATGTGTCTGTGTGTGCACGCGCGTGTGTGTGTGTGTGTGTGTGTGCGTGTGTGTGTGTGTGTGCATGCACGTGTGTATGTGTATGCATGCACGTGTCTCTATGTGTGTGTGTGTGTGTGTGTGTGTGTGTGTGTGTGTGAGTGTGTGTGTGCATGCACGTGTGTATGTATGCACGTGTCTCTATGTGTGTGTGTGTGTGTGTGTGTGTGAGTGTGTGTGCATGCACGTGTGTGTATGTGTGTGTGTGTGCGTGTGTGTGTGTGTGTGTGTGTGTGTGTGTGCGTGTGTGTGTGTGTGTGTGTGTGTGTGTGTGTATGTGTGTGTGTGCACGCGTGTTTCTCTGTGCGTGCGCGTGTATTCAAATTCTCACAAGGAACTTTTCTGCTTGAAGAAATAAGTAAATAGTATAATTGCCACACAACTTGGGTTTTACCCACACGTCATCAGCTACCCAAAATAAAGTACATGATCTCAACCTTCGCCCGAGGCTGTGGATGACCTCATACATTTGCATATAACGCGCTACAGCTGCACAGTGTCCACGAGCTACATAGAAAAAGAACAGGGCTTTGATAGCCTCCACCAGGCCTTTCTACGGGAATACGGATCGTAGAATTCGGCAAAAAAAGAGAGTAAAATTGGCCAAGGGAGTCCGGCCGCTGGGATGTAGTTTCTTTCCCTCCGAAACTGCGCGACCAGTCAAACCTACAAGGCGGCCAAACTCCCCTGGCAAATATTCTCCTATATATAGCCAGCGTAGATAGTCTGGTAGAGACTAAGGCTTTGCATCGTTCGTCGAGTCTTTGCATCACTTTGAACGACGCCAATACAAAACTTTGACACGTTTGCAATACCTCAATTATTTGATCCAGGTCATTTTGAAATTGGTAAGAAAAGCCTCAAAAACACCAAATTTCTGATTCATAACTTATCAAGATCAAGTGAAAAATTTATGTATCGTGTGGATAAAAATGCAACCGTAATATATCCTTTAAAAATCAGTCGACAATCATCAAACCATAGATCATTGAAAGAAAAACAGTGGTTGAGGGCCGATGTGACGACACACAGTGCTCAGACAGCATAATTGGTGGCAGAGGTCACTGAGCATTAACGTAACATGTCTCGCTTCGCAGGTTTTGGTTACTGCGCTTCGTTAAAGGTCATAGTTGATATGAAATTTTTTAGCCATGGCAGTCTTCGTTTGCTTGTGAACACATCACACGTCGAGAAGATTTTGTTTTTTTGGCGGTACATAACGTGTTCTTGTTCTTTGGGCGACGGGAATTTAAGTTAATGGCCAATCAGTCGAACGACGTTAAAAACTGTGCGGGTCTCCGTAAATGATCGTTAAATTCCATGGGACATGTGGAAGATTTTAACCAGTCTTCGTTTCCTTGTGAACATGCCATGGGGTATTCATGAAAGATTTTAACCAGTCTTCGTTTCCTGGTGAACATGCCATGGGGTATTCATGAAAGATTTTAACCAGTCTTCGTTTCCTTGTGAACATGCCATGGGGTATTCATGAAAGATTTTAACCAGTCTTCGTTTCCTTGTGAACATGCCATAGGGTATTTATGAAAGATTTTAACCAGTCTTCGTTTCCTGGTGAACATGCCATGGGGTATTCATGAAAGATTTTAACCAGTCTTCGTTTCCTTGTGAACATGCCATGGGGTATTCATGAAATATTTTAACCAGTCTTCGTTTCCTTGAGAGCACGCCACAAGTCGAGTCATTTCGACCGTACATAATTTTTGGGTGACAGGAATTCGAGTTTCAGTCATCAAACAGCGTTAAAAACTGTGCGGGCCCCCGTAAATGTTCGTTAAGTGCCATGGGGCATTTATGGAAGATTTTAACCAGTCTTCGTTTCCTTGTGAGCACGTCATACGTCGAGTAGACTTTGTTTTTCGACGGCTCATAATTTTTGGGTGACATGAATTATTGGCCAATCAATCAAACTGCACGGGTCCCTGTAAATGTTCGTTAAGTGCCATGGGGCATTTATGGAAGATTTTAACCAGTCTTTGTTTCCTTGTGAACACATCAAACGTTTCCTTGTGAAGCGTCCGTTTCCTTGAAAGACTTTTTCGGGGAGGGGGTAGATTTTTCATTGGGGTAGGAATTCGAGATAGTAGCAAACCAGATGCACTGCGTTTAAAAAAAACTGTGAGGGTCACCGCAAAGTTTTAAAAAAAGCACCGTGTCCACATACTGGTCAGTCGCGGTCGTTTTAGGCAGGGAACAGGTAAATGAGTGGGTCGCTAAACCGAGTAGATCGCGGTCGCGTTAGTCGGATGCTCTTGTGTCTATGGTACAATTTCAAGGGACCGAGAAAAGCGGTCGGTAGGTGGTCGCCTTACCGGGGTTGACTGTACATTATTAGCGGGGAACCATAGCCGCTACGCAGACATTCGTTACTGAGTCTGATCGCAGTCAGGTTTTGGCGTAAGAGCTCTTACTGGCGCCTGTCTTGACCCAGGTACATGTGCAGGAACCATAGCCTCAAAGCAGATTTCTGTTACGGGGCAAGGGCAGAGTTTTAGCGGTAGTGCATTGAGACGGAGGGTAGAAGTATTCGACATTTTCCCGCCGTAAAGAAAAACATACTAGCGGATCCGGATGTTTGGAACGAGCCATATTTCAAAAATAGGCACAAGTTCTTCATGCACCTTTGTGGGCAATTAGTTGTGGTTGACTCGGTGCGCAATTGTTTTTAACGGACAAATTTTCAAGGACAGACACAAGTTTTCAGTGGCAGGTGGTGGTTACCGCGCGCACTAGCCTCTACCAGGCACCGCGGATCGCTGGAAAAATAGTAGAAATTGGCCGAAATAAAGGGATAGTATACCAGGGAAGATCCAGGGCCATAGAAGCTCCAAGTTGCGACCCACAGGCTCCGTGGTAGAGGCTACGCGATCCGCGGTGCCTGGTAGAGGCTACGCGCGCACCGTCTCATTCTCTCATAGGCCATCGTAAGATTTTTGGGCTCAAGCCGATTTTGCAGGTTGCAAAGCAGCGAACAACATGGACAAAGCAGGTTGTGACAAACCATCCGCCAACAAGGCCTTACCCTGGGAGCCAGGGTAGACTAGTATCGGGCCGTTAGCCGTTTCCTTCGGCAGCCAAGAGTCCTACGGGGATAGGACAGGCCAGACTCCCCTGGGCTCAACTCCCCCCAGCGGTAATTTTGGGCGAAGGGCTCTTGGCTGCCGAAGGAAAACGGCTAACGACCCGATACAAATCTGGCTCCCAGGGTAGCAAGGTCTACGACAGCCTTTTTATTCATTTTATTAAACCAGCATGATCCCACAAGGGCGGTTTTAAATGTTCCCTGCATACATACATGTAAACAAAACATGCTAAAGTATGAGAACAAACTTTTGTAAAATACAAGACAGATGAATCTTGTACACCACGTACACGACTACAAGAATGCCCTCGTTTGCGATCGTACGGCAATCTTAAGCTGAATGTTACTGTGCCCTTACGGAGTTGTTACCATTCAATAAGGTAGGTTTTTAACGGACAAAACATTTTCACGAACGTTACACGGTCACCTGAATACTGCGTCATTGATCGGCAGCTTTCCCTATCGCCTACCAACTTACAGCCCAGACAAAAAAACAGCCCTAAGCAACATATATCAAACGTCGACGTCTATCTGTTTCCAAAATAATATCCAGGTGCTTGATTAACTGTTCAAGTTAGCCTATCTTATATCCTGGGTGTTTAACATTCACCGACGTACAAAAACTGAAATCAAAATATTAAAAACAAAACTTACCGTCGAGGATTCTCGGTTATCTTCGGACCACTTTCGCCGGACAAGATGATCGCAAACAGGTACACCCTCAGTCTTCGCGGTCGGTCAACTTGAACCACGAACTACGTTCCGATGTTTTCCTCTCTGCGACGGAGGGCAGCGCACTCGGAGCTGGCAGAATGGCGCTATGACTGGCAGGGCCGCCGATCTGTCATTTATTCCCTCTCACAATGAAGTTTTATTTGCTTCATCGAGCAAATCCGATAATTATAGCATTACGTCACCTCCAAACTCGGCCGAGTGTGGTGGCCTTGTCCTTTTGTCTCCTCTAATTGCACTAAACGACGACCAATATTTTTCAAATATTTTGCATGACCTTTGCGATGAATCGAGATTAACTAGATCAAATTGAGTTTTCTCTGGGAAATTTTAAAAGCTCGAAGAAATGAAACCAACGTCACCTCCAAACTCAAATTTGCATACGTCTTGTCGGTCGTGTTCTGGCGGTCATGTCTTTAATTATGTCTACTCAAATTGCACTAAAGGACGACCAAGATTTTTTTTCTTCATATTTTGCATGGCCTTTGCGATGAATCGAGACTAGCTGGACCAAATTGAGTGTCTTTAGAAATTTTTAAGCTTGAAAACAACATCAGTAACCCCGGGGGTTTGGTCATGTTCCAATAACATTCCGAAAAGGCATAAGCGAATATTTCTGTCATGACCGCATGTGAAGAACGGTGTATTGTTGGTTAGTATCATCTTAGAGACTGACTAGATAACAAAGTTCATTCAAAGTTATCTATCTACGAAGACCAGAACCAGACTCTAAACACCAAATTGCATCGGACATGTCGGAGTTAGCCCTTGGGACCTTGTTATGGTTTAAAAGGGACTGTTTGTGCCTACATGTCGTATTGTATTGTGTTCTAACTATTTGGTTCAATAAGAAAAGGTTTAGCGTGTTGGGACATGCAAACCAATTTAAAAACCGGTTTTTCATGCCCCAACACATCCACCATTGCCGGTGACTCGTGATTTGTGACGTCATGCACAGCCAAGCGATCTGATTGGTGGTTTCCCGCCGACTCGCCGTAGGGCAAACTTTCGACCAATCAGACACCGTTGCAGTGATCGCCGTAGGGCAAACTTTCGACCAATCACGCGCAGTTATACTGATCGCCGTAGGGCAAAGTTTCGACCAATCACGTGCAGCTACACTGATAATTAGATGATTGACACTGCATGAAGCCTCCGCCAAGGGTTCTAGTCGGGGATTCCCTCAACCCATGTTTTTCAGCGAAACGCCGTAGGGCCTAGTCTTTATCCAATCACATGCGGTCGCAAAGTCCCAGATAATTTAAGTATAATTGGCCAATTATTCGCTAGCATGTTGGACGGCACGCAGGGTTGCCAACTGAACCGAGGAAAATACTAGTAGGTTGATTGAAACATCAAAAGATTTCTTTACTCAAGTCTCAACAGCAACATATATTAAAGAATGTTTCGATCTCAGAGACAGCATACATATACTCTGTACGTAAGATGGCGTTATCCACACGTATTTAGTTTGTTAGATCTTTGATCATACAAAAGTCACTGTACTTTTTTGTTGTGTCAATAAAGAATCTTACTCTTACAATAGATTCTAATAACATAACATCATGTTTTTCTAGTCGTTTGAACGCTATGCCTTTTACAATCAATGTACTAAGGGCGGTATTGCTTTAGAATGAACCTTAAAGATCGAGAAAATGGCCGCCATATTTTCTGTTCGTCCTTTTCAGGTCAAGCTGGTACAAGTTATGGCCGGGCAGATGTAAGAATGTTTCCGCGACCCACAATAAATTTGTCATCTTGTAGGGAAATATAACGTTATGTTATTGGTGATCTGTCAAGCTTGTTCTGAAACCTTTCAACTGTTTCAAACTGTTTCCTGATGAGTTTAGGTGGTCGGTCAATAACTGACAATTGGGGGAGGGGGGCGCGTTTTCCAAGGTCACTTGACATGTCGGTGACCGACCTTGGAAAACGCCCCCCCCCCCATCCACATCCACAGTATGTAAAGCCCTCCCGCAACCATTAGCATGGTCGCATATGGCGGCGCTCATCTCCGTTTCGTAGCCCTTGGGCCACACAGTCCACTGGTAGTGTTGAGTGTTTAACTCCCGTACTCTTTCTCAACTGCCGAGTGCTAAGCAGAGAAAGCAGTATGTACCATTTTTGGTGTTTCCCGCCGACTCACCGTAGGGCAAACTTTCGACCAATCACGTACAGTTGTAATTAGAAGATGATTGACACTGTATGAAGCCTCCGAAAAGGGATCCGTTCGGGGATTCCCTCAAACTTTTTTTTTTTTGCGCGAAACGCCGTACGGCTGAGTCTTCGTCCAATCACATGCGATGGCAAGCATCAAGATGATTGGAGCATTAATTGGCCAATTAGTCGCTAGCATGTTGGACGGCACGCAGGGTTGCCAACTGAACCGAGGAAAATAGAATGATTGAAACATCAAAAGATTTCTTTACTCAACATTCACGGACAGCAACATATAATAGACTCTAATAACATAACATCATATTTTTCTATTTGTCATATTGTGGGGGAAATTAAGTTATTGGTGATCAGTCAAACTTGTTCTGAAACCTGTCAGCTGTTTCAAACTGTTTCCTGATGAGTTTAGGTGGTCGGTCAATGACCGACAATATTGGGGGAGGGGGGCGCGTTTTTCAAGGTCACTTGACATGTCAAGTGACCTTGGAAAACGCGCCCCCATCCACATACACAGTCTGTAAACCATTAGCATGGTCGCATATGACGGAGCTCATCTCCGTTTCGTAGCCCTTGGGCCACACAGTTAGTCCACTGGTAGTGTTGTGTGTTTAGCTCCCATACTCTTTCTCAACTACCGAGTGCTAAGCAGAGAAAGCATTATGTACCATTTTTGGTTGTTTCCCGCCGACTCGCCGTAGGGCAAACTTTCGACCAATGACGTACAGTTGTAATTAGAAGATGATTGACATTACACGAAGCCTCCGAAACGGGATCCGTTCGGGGATTCCCTCAACCCTTTTTTGCGCGAAACGAGTCTTTGTCCAATCACATGCGATCGCAAGCACCAAGATAGTTGAAGTACAATTGGCCAATAATTTATTCGCTAGCATGTTGGACGGCACGCACGGTTGCCAACTGAACCGAGGAAAATAGATAAATACATTGTTCTGAAACCCTTCAACTGTCTCAAGCTTTCTATGAAGAGTCCAGGTGGCTGGTCAACGACCGACATATCAAGTGACCTTGAAAAACACACCCCTCTCCACACACACAGTGGCAAAACAGTAATGTAGAGTTTTCCAGGCTAGAATTTATAATAGGTGTACAGTACCCATGCAGTACAGCTATTGATACTGTGAATCATGAAACTATTATGCAGGGAGGGAATGGGAGGTTTTCAGTGTTACAAATATGCGATTGAAACAATTCTGTAGTGCCGTGGCCTAGTAATTATGTAATCTACACAGAACAACCAATGATAGACCACAGATTGTTTTGTAAGTCATTTATGGCAATTGTAGTACATTACATTACATAGCAAGAGTTCATCATATATGTACAACTTTCCATAGGTTGAAATCTATGAACAGAAATCTATCAACATCATGACAATACATGAACAAAAATACAAAATTTAATCCAAACCGATTTGGATGAAACTGAAATATGTAGGTAATATACATAATCCATCGACATTTCAGGAACAATCAACATGCTGCTTACATTGTAATACAAAAAGAGTTCAGTATGTACATATGACAAATTAGTAGTACTCAACACTCTGCCATGCTGTAATAGTGAAAATTCACTACATATATACATATAAACATGTACACTGAACAATGAATAAACCACAAGTTATATTGATTTTCTTTAATTCCATTGTATCAGAACTTTACATCATTCTGTAAATATCTACAGAATGTCGGAATAAATACCAGTTGTTCTTTTTTAAGAATTGGATATCGATAGATCATTCATACAATTTATTTGAATTGGCCAGCATTGAGCCCAACATTTGTTTTCTTATTTATTTCTAAAGTTACTGTCTTCACCTTTCAATACAAGGTAAATAAATACTTCTAAACAGTCAACAAGGATTGCTATATAGACAACTGTTGAACCGACATACATGTACAATCAAACATCAACATTGAACAGTCATGAAAGTTCATCTGTGTTGGTAGTTACATGTTTAAAGTTAAAGGCTCTTAAAGGTATCTGGTAGATGATGTCATCATCCATCTCACTTAACCGTGACAGGGGCTGACATCGTCTACCAGATACCTATGACCCAGTGTTGACATCACACATTAAAGAAGCCACGGGACAAGCCCCACTGGATCAGTCTACTGATGAAGACCAGAGTGACTGGTAGAAAGCTCTAGGTGAGAGAACTTTTTGTGTTGGATCTAAAGTTTTAACTCTAAACATATAACTACCAACACAGATGAACTTTCATGATAGAACATTGAACAGTGTTAGTTTTATTGGCAGTGGAATTGTTTCTGTCTTATGGCACAAGAAAGTTTGCCAGGTGTGAGAAATACATGTATAACCTTAAAGTTTATGTTTCGGTTTAATCAAGGTTTTAAAGACAGTGTCTTTATTTAAAACCTCCTTGGTTCAATCATCATACATGTACTTTATTTAATTTGCTTTTAGGACAACAAACTGCATCTAGTTCCATTCAAGTTTTACTTACTAAGTTCTTTCTAACTTTATGTGGTAACAGTATACTGCATTATTTTTCAGCTGCCAAACTAACCAACCTACATTACATGTATGTATGAACAGAACTGCATGGTACAAATGTATGTGATACCACTGTGATTGAGAAGCCTACTAGTATTTATAAGGTCACACCAATTTAGTTTGTTAAACCAATTGATTTAAATTGGTGCAGCCATACCTAATGTATATAGATATGGAGCACGTCAGCGTAACATACTGCTCCTGTGTGAAACCTGTAATGTATAGCAGTTTGGCAGAATGTCTTATACACTAAGAAAGGTTGTATTCGCGTATATAAGGTTAACAACCCATCTGTAGTTTCCAAATGTTATGTCGGAAAAGATGTGCTCTTGCAACAGGCAAAATACTGATGCAATGGTGACCAAACATCCAACGAAAACCATGAAAAAACAGGGTTTTGCACAGGTGCAGTACGTTCTGTCAATGTGCTTAGATATTGTATTACATGTATAAGATGGCCTCTACTTCTGGTAGTGGGAGGGTTCTGCGTACTTCCATGTGCCCATCGTGCTTGTGGCTGCATTGATATTTGTGAAAACCTGTAACAACTGGGAAGACAAGGACTGTCTTCTTCAACTGTTGGGGCCAAGATATGAGCATTTTGGAGCAGGTGAATCCTAGAACCAAATAATTTAATTAGTGTGGCCTAATGTGTAGATCTGGTACCAGTATTATAAGATGGCCTCTACTTCCGGTAGGGGGAGGGTCCTGCGTACTTCCATGTGTCTGTCGCGCTGGTGGCCGCATTGATAGACTTGAAAAACTGTTACAACTAGGAAGACAAGGACTGTCTTCTTCCCTTGTCTTCTGCAACTGTTGGGGCCAAGATATGAGCATTTGGAGCTGATTTCTTTTTTCAGAAAAATTAAGCAGGTGAATCCAAGAACCAGTTGATTTAAATTGGTGTGGCCTAATGTATACTAATAGATATTGTATTATAAGATGGTCTCTACTTCCGGTAGGGGGAGGGTTCTGCGTACTTCCATTTGTCCATCGCGCTGGTGGCCGCATTGATAGATGTGAAAAACTGTAACAACTGGGAAGACAAGGACTGTCTTCTTCAACTGTTGGGGCCAAGATATGAGCCTTTTGGAGCTGATTTCTTTTTTCAGAAAAATTAAGCAGGCAAATCCAAGAACCAGTTGATTTAAATTGGTGTGGCCTAATGTATACTAATAGATATTGTATTATAAGATGGCCTCTACTTCTGGTAGTGGGAGGGTTCTGCGTACTTCCATGTGACCGTTCCGCTGGTGGCCGTACTCAAACTTGATGCGCAGCTCGCCGATCTTGCACCTGGGCAGGATGTCCGGGATCCACTCGATGACAAACGGGGTGGGCTCCTTCTGGTCGGGACTCGTGTTCCCTACAAAACGTTGGGTCGGATGTTAACATTGTAATAACTAGAGGTCCACGATCTCATACCTTCGCCAAATGATGTTAGCTTTTATGATTAAGAAATTATATATTAATCCCCCTAATTATGCAAATAGGATCCTCAATTGCATGGATTATATCTGTTGATCATATTCTCCACCAAAAGACAGTCTTATCTTAACAAAGAATGCCATGATGACATTTTCTCATAAATTATGCAAATGAAGTCCTTATTTGAATAAGTTATGTTTAATTATGTTCACCTTAACTTAACTTTCAAACACCCCAAGTATAAAATTCCAGGCAGTTACCACTATGCAATTATAATATTTTCTCATTAATTATGCAAATTAGTCTTCATTTGCATAATCAATATCTGCCTGTGTTTCTCTCATTCTTAATAACATATGTCACAAGCTTGAACTTCCTATTATGGAATGCAGCTGATAAATAGAATTTCCTCATTAATTATGCAAATTACATCCATATTTGCATAATTGTAATATCATTATGCCAAGCATCACTCAAGCTACCTACATACCAAAAATCACGATGATCCATCAATCGGTTCTTGAGTTATCCCCCTTTAAACATTTGTCCTTTAAACCCCCCTGCAGTTCTAGAGCAAGCAACTAGGGGGCTCAAACTCATGTCACTTTATCCCCAGCACAAGAGCTATCTACCATCCAAATTTCGTCACCCTAGCATGTCTGGATCATGAGATATCAAAACCGGAAGTTCTGCTGCAGTACCATGACAAGCCGCCAGGTGGCCCAAAATCTAATCATTTTGAGGTCTCATCAAGACCTACCCACCTACCAAGTATCAAGACAATCCATCAAGACCTTCTCAAGTTATTGTGTTGACAGACAGACAGACACACACACACACACACACATACACGAACGCCCCTGAAAACATAACCTTCTTGGCGAAGGTAATAATAATTTTTACGGCTATTGGTGGCAAATGTGCAGATGTTGTCACATTGGCACACAAAATATGTAGTGTGTTTTTGGCAAATATATTAGACAGATAAGCCAAAGAGGCTCGGTTGGCATCACTCCACCGTCAGGGAAAGGAAAGTAAAGTTCCTTCCAAAGGGCACAACAACGGGGCATGGTGAGTATCGAACCCGGGACCTATTGGTTCCAAGTCCAACGCTCTAACCGACACCACTAACATTGTAATGCTGGGCTAGAAATACCACCTGCATGTGAAGGTTAGTGCAGGTAAAATTGGAGCTGTGCAGGTATTTCTGATGTCTACCTGCACCTAACCTGCACTGGTCCATGTACTGGGTTTATGCAGGTTGTGTACTTGGGAAAAAAATCCAGAAAAGTAGTATTTTCAGAGATGACAACAGGATCAGCAGAAATACAGCAAATGTAATTCAAAGAAGGGTCTTACTGTAAGTTTCAAACTTTGCAACTTACCAACTTTCAAATAAGTCTTCAGTTCAAACGGCTTGATGGCTTGTTGGCCTTCTATCTTGCGGTACGCTTCAGCTATCGTTTCTACTTCAACTTTTGGGGCGTCGTACGGCTCGTAGGTCCCATCACGATTCTCCACAAAGCTGCGTGTCACCTCCAGGGGCATCTGGGTTGAAGACAAACCAAAATAATACTAAGATTCACAATGTCAATGGCCCCAAGTTGCAAGTACAAAGAAAAATATTCCTCCATAAATAAACAGTATAAATTCATTTATTTTTGCACAAACTTAAGTTCTGTTCCATCTTCTAAGGTCATTAGACAGAGATCATGAAAATAATACCATCGCAAACATTTCAGTATATACAGTAGCTTCACCTCCTACCATAGGTGTGTCGAAGATCTGTTTGACGTGCAGGATGTTGGTGATGTACCAGGTGTAATCACCAATATTCTACACTTTTACACAGAAGAATTTGAAGAATTACAGAACACACATATAGCTTCACTACACTTTAGTACTGCTCCATGGCTTCCTACCATAGGTGTGTTGAAGATCTGTTTGACATGCAGGATGTTGGTGATGTGCCACATGTAATGGATATGGCAGTAGAACTACCGTGAACATTTGAGGATTTACACTAGCTACACGTAGCTTCACTACACTTTAGTACTGCTCCATATGGCTTCCTAGTTTTTACCATAGGTGTGTCGAAGATCTGTTTGACATGCAGGATGTTGGTGATGTGCCACATGTAATGGACATGTCAGCAGAAAAATTAAACTACCGTGAACATTTCAAGGTTTACAGCAAACATACATTGTATTTTCACTACACTTTAGTACTGTATCTGTATGGCCAGTATAGTCACCAGCTTCACAGGCAGGTGGCGTGGCGGCAGCTGGCTACATTGCACCGAACGACTTGTTACACCTAACCCTTAAACATCCAACTCTAAACATTGTTTAAAGCTATCTAATGATAATGCCCCTACTGTACTTGGTGACAGTGAGTTTCACTCTGCGATAGTTTTAGTAGGGGTATTGGACGCCATATAATACCTGTTACGGGGCCGGTAAACACCGAAAATGGGGCGATTTTAGAGCGTTCAAACGAGTATATAACAAAGTAAAAATGCTTGAAATTTGGTATCAGTAGTTGAAGGAACTCTTTATCTCTTATTTTGTCCAAGTTTTATTAAGATACCTTCAATGGTAAGCGCGAAATCGCCGATCGGGTCGCGCGAGTTTTCCCGGCGGCGCCATGTGCGCGCCCTCCCCGTGCCGAAAATTTCAAGAAGGCGCTGATCGCCGGAGCCCGCCCGCGCGTACCGTGTGCAAAATCCAGAAAAAAATAGCCACTAATTTGTAGCCAAGAATACGAGCTTTCGAAAAATGCCTTCTTTTTTTCTGTACGACGTCAGGATCGAAAGTTGTCCGCATGTGAAACTTTCAAAGTGCGATATCTCCACAACTTGCCCCCGGGGCAATTTTAAAAGGAAACCATCATATGAAAATTCAGAACATTAGCTTTAATTTGATGCAAGATTCGCATATGTGCGATCCTGCTGTACGCGCGGAATATGGGGTTACTTTCCGGACGATTTTGGCTTCAACCGGGTAAACAACAATGGCGGCCGTGGGCAGCTACGTGCCGGAGCGCTGCCATTCCGCCGCAAATTTGACGCCATCCGACGTCGTAGAGTTCATCACGACCGGCCAAAAACCAGGTAAGGTATTTATTCAAGTATTTTGGGAGTTTTAACGTGTTATTGTGTGCCCTTTTGTCCGTTTTTGCTTCGATATGTCACATATGAACACGAAGCACATGTCAGTGTATTGTTAGCTGTGAATCGTCGGCAAAAATGAGCCTTCCAGCCGGATAAATCGTGACTTTTCCGCTATTCGAAGCATTATTATTTTCTTGAAGATACATTAGTTCGTTATCTTGTTCCTATATGTATATTTTTGTTGTTGTATACGTGTTTTGGGGCTCGTTTGCGTCGCGTCTGTTGTGTCGTCGTATGGGGTGGGAGGGGGGCGTGACGTTTGTGTATTTGGGTCCTTACCTTAGGTCAGGATAAGATCATTTTTTCCATAACATTTCTTTTTAACGGGAAATATCTGTTTTTCTTTTTATTGCCACGCTATTACAACATTTCTTTATGCTCATATTTTTTTAATTCTTTGTGAAAACCTAAAATTTACTTAGTTACATTAATTTTTATTTTTTTATTTTTTTTATTTTTTTTTTAAAATTAGTTTACAAACTGTTACTTAGTGTTAGTACAGGTGCCATAGGTACTTACACAGGTATTCATATATAAACACAAGTATGTATATATAAATATATAATTTAAATTAATATAGTTTCATTTTTTTTATTATTCTTTGCAGCAAACTGTGAAACAGTTCTATGCTCCACACTACTTCTGCTGGAGTGTGGGCTACGTGACCAGGGCATGAGTGCCAACGAACATCTTCCTGGGCTTGTCCATGCCATCGACAGTGCTGTGGAGCTGCCGACGTACTGCTCGAATGTGTTGAAGAAAATTTGGAAGAAAGCTGAAGAGTGTGGACAGGAAGACCTGGACAACCTTCTTGCATCACCTGTAAGCTCAGTCTACAAACCTAAGAAAAAGGAAGACCCCAACAAGGTTGGAGAAGAGTGTGCAAAGGCTGGAATAACACGTCATGTGTTGGACAAAGGCTGGGACAACCCTCCTAAAATAGTTGTGACAAAAATGATGGTGGCAGAGATAGAAGGCTACTGCCAACCTGAGACTGACGACGATAGATGGGTGGGAAGAGATAGATAAACAGTACGTGCAATATTACAACAGGTACTTCGCCCAAACACAGCGTGCCGTCAAGTCCAAGAGGAACCTGAAAAAGAAGAAAAGGACATGAGTAAGATTAGGACCAATAGATCTCTATAGACTTTAATATTGTTAAGTTTTAAGATAAGTTTTATATAGTAGAAGATGGATAAATGTATACAAAACATCTATGTTCTGTAAGAAAATCTGTCGATGCATATATAATGAGGGAACGTCATAAAACTGTGTGTAAATTCATAATAGTACTATAAGATGATGAGATATGCCAATTTTGATAGCAAATTTGGATTCAGCACGTGCCAAAACCCCCTAGATGTGAAATATGTTGACATACAATGAAAGACATGGGAGAAAATGCATTCGCGCATAATTAATTAGGCCGACGGCAATAAAGTCATAAAAGCACGATATGGAGATAAGATATGCCACTTTTGATTGTAAATTCGGATTCAGTGTGTGTCCAAACCCCTTAGATGTGAATTTGGATCAGATATGTTTAAGTATAGTGGAATTATTGTGGTTTTGCATATGTAATTAGGGGGACTTAGAAATTTTTGGCATTTTGCCAAAATCAACGGTTTCCATGCGTGCTCCCGAAGAGCATATTGTTCAATATTTCAGGATTATGTATTTCTGTAAATAATGATGCAATGAATCTGGTTTTTACACATCATTTAATATGATATCAATAGAGCATTGTACAAGTAAATTGAAGTCTGTGTGATGTTTCGTTTTTATGATATTAGCATATGAAAAATGATAAAAATGGCGTATCTTACCGACTTCGTAACAATGACGACCCCAAAATGGGGACATAAATTACAAATATCTCCGCCATACAACATCCGATTTACTTCAAACAAAAACCATTTTGTTCAGTTTAATGAGCTCTTTCTAAAAAGCTACACTGTTAATTGCTAACAACAAAACAAAATTTTTGTCCAATACCCCTAGTTTTAGGAAAGAATGAGTTCCATGGCTTCGTACCATAGGAGTGTCGAAGATCTGTTTGACATGCAGGATGTTGGTGATGTGCCAGGTGTACTTGGAGAAGGTGCCGAGCGGGAGGGCGTCCTTCCGCACAAACGCCACCGTGGAGTTGGGCAGGCGCCGCTTCTTGCAGCCCGCGGAAATCCTCTGCTGCAGGGCGTCAAAGAACGGCTGCGGGACATGGAACACCAGCGGGTCTGGGTAACCTGGGAGGAAAGGTTGTAATGCTTATTTATCACAGAAAAGGCAAGTTGGTATTTTGCTGTCTGTTGTTTGTCTGTCTGTGTGACTTAGATGGCTTTATTTTGCTGTCTATAACTCTGTCAGATACATTATCAAAGTTTCACACATGATCATTCAATCTTTCAGTTCTGTTCCATTTTGTTTTCTTCGATACCTTTAATATGTATAGCAGTACAGTACTGGTACACAATGATTCGCATTCAGTATTTTTTTACTTTTACCAAATTGATTTCCGCAGTACTGTATCTGTACGCAGCACTAAATCCAATGATGTGCTGGACCTCAAAATAAAACCGCCATGAATATAAATGAATTTACAGCACTCTACTACCATAGGAGGACCTAGAAGCCCTGACCCCCAGAGGAGTATTGGAAGGGGAAGAGTGTAGCAGTGGTGACTTGAGAAGAAGAAGAAGACCATATGGGAAAACCTAAGCCTGATAGAAATTAAAAGGACTGTCTCACCGTCAAACTGGTAATGCATGGTCTGGTTGATTCTCTCCACCACACTCCCCAACCACTCCTGGAAGGACAGAGAGATCTCTGTCTCGTCTACTGTGGTAGCTGCAACAGAAATAGACAAGTTAGCAAATCAGATAATATATGTGGCTGTGTGAATAGGAATAGCCATATCAAAGGGCAGGGAAAAGTATAGGCTGATACTATACAGCTACAGGTATTGGGTGCATGATATGCAATTTTGGACCACACAAATTTAGAGCTGTGCACCTAATTTGTAACTGGTGCACCTCAAAATTTGTGTAGATGTGTGTTACGATGAAGGGCGGTTATACTGGCTATACAGATACAGATATGTCTCGAAATTACACCTGCACTTGCAGGTTAGTGCAGGTAAAACTGAAGTTGTGCAAAAAGAGAAGTGTAAGAAGAATTTTTTTTTTTGCTGTGAATGGCAAGGTTGGTAGTTTAAACACTGTTGGAATAACTTATACAAACCTGTACCCTGAAAACTACAGCAAATGGCAGGGTCAACATTAGTATTTTGTGCTCGTGGGAGTAAGACTTGTACATCTGTAGCCTGAAAACTACAGTTCTGACTTACCAGGTCTCTTAGCACACGGAGGACTGGCCGCTGCAACTGTTTTCTTGATGGGGGTTTTCTTGGTGGGAATGTTTCCGCTGTCTTGTAATGTTAGCAGTGCACTACTGGCCTGGGCTGTGGAAACAGAACAATTGGAATGAGAAATAAGAAATATGAGGTTATACTACTAGTACTATAGTACAAAGCTACTTTGGTATATTTTGGTTCATAATACCAAACTCTAAATCTTTTTACATGCAAACATTTCAAGTTACTGCTTCATGTATTTCTACCTGCTATCATACTTTTTCAGTAAAACTTCAAAAATCATATCATTTTACCCACCTAATGTGTCGTCTTTCTTTCTCTTCTTTGATATCTTGGGGGACCCTTCTAACACCTCCAGTATCTCCAGTGTCTTGTCTGGGGCTGCACCTGGAATAAATTGTTGAAAAACTGAATGTAAAGTCATATACCTTCATGGAAGTTCATCTGTGTTGGTGGTTACGTCATGTTTAGGTCAAAACGTGTTCTAACACCGGGGATTATTCTCACCTAGACATTCAACCAGTCACTCTGGTCTTTTTCAATATACTGACTCAGTGAGTGACTGAATGTAAAGTTAGCAAGTTTTTTTATCTTTACGTAGTAATTTCATGTAAAAACCTGAATGAAGTATAATACTTTTTCAATTACTATGCTCCAGGTAGTTAGTTAATAAAATTTTTGACAGCAGCTATGTGGTATCAGCTCAATATTGAAAATGCAAAGTGTTTACTAACTTGTCTATCACTTGAAAATTGAAGCAAACGTTGAAAATATGTACCTGGGTTGTCGAGGTTTATGTAGTAGGCGAACTCCTCCGTGAGCTTGTCATCGCTGGCGAAGGCGCAGATGCAGGCGTAGAAGTGGACACACCTCCTGGCCTGCTCCGACACGCCCTGACTCTTCACCGTCTTGAACATCCGGCACGTGCAGTGGAACTTGTGCTCCGCTGCGTCGCGATTCCGGCTCGTGTCGCTGAACGAGAAGTGCAGGAAACCGAGCGGCTGTCTCGGGTCGGGTTTGCACTTCACTACCATGATGTTTTTCGTGACTCGTTGCACGAGCGGTCCTGTTGTTTCTGTAGCCAGGAGCCATATAGCCTGCTTGATTTCGTTGGATATGTTTAGGGAGTTCAGAACGGAGTTTTTCAGGGTGAGCGGTGTGGCTTCTGCCTCGCAGGAAAGGGCTAACTTGATGTGGGGGCAGGTCTCTTCGGTAACGTGTCGGACTCTCTGACAAGTCTCGACGAAACAACGCCCGGCGCCAGACGCAGCGATCAGCGCCGCTCCGTCCTCAGTCTGAGTGGGATTGCCGTCTGCATCGGTTGTTAGGGGCAACTGGACGAATCCTCGATAGTCCGGCCCACGGTCGCGCAAGCGCACCGAGAACACCTGCACGGTGGACCCCGTGATGATGCGCACGGCGTCCGCGCTGTGTCCCGACTTGCGGACCTTGTCGCGGAACACGGTGTTGCACTCCTTGTTCTTGCAGCTCAGGCCGCGCGTCCCGTTGAGGGTCCCGCACTTCGGGCATTTCTTGACGCCGCGCAACGTGGGTTTACCAAGGTCTGCGAACAGGCTCTTGATCTTTTCCTGGGTGGTTGCCATCATTGACATCTGGTGAGTTGCTGGGGTCTGAAACAAACAAAAAAATGTTTCAAACAATGTAACGGCAAAGCATAATTTTGGCTCAGAACCAAGAGGTCTCGGGTTCGAATCCTGCCATGTCATCAACCTTGTGCGCTTGATGACTTTCCTCGGGTGTTAATGAGTATGCCAGAATAATCATTATCATGATCGTGGGCATTAAAAAAAACCAAACCAAACATAAAACAGCACTTTCAGTGACAGCAAATTTACAGTGAGTTTCACAACATTTTCGTCCTCCCCTCCCCCAACAACAAAATTATGCCGTTTCTATAATTGGAACGGGACTGTAGATTTTCCACAGCAGCATTCAGCCTCGCTCAATCTGTCACTTTTCTCATGACATTGCCTAAGTTTTCCTATTTTTGCTGCCACTTTCTAGCGCAGTCATATTCTCGCAGTCATATTCTCTTCTAAGCGGGATGCTGACATAAATTGTTGTTGTTGTTGTCCTTGTTTAACGTCTGTTAACTATATATTATAATTAAGTCGCTAGACGTGGTCTCTAGGTGCTCAGTGTTACGCTTGGATCAGTTCAGAGTCAGTTGTCTCTCAAGGTATTAACACTTGGTGACTTGTGCTTGTGTGAACCTGGGAGTGTTTCTAGGAGAGCACGTCAAATCGGTGCGTACTCTCGATGTACATAAATATCTATCATAATAAATTTTCAAACTTACTTGTACATGTACTGTAAATCGTTATCGCTTTATCTTCTCTACTAAGCAAAGAATACCTTCATACGGTCAGTTTAACACTTATATTTTAGATGTCACAAAAGATCAGCGATGGCAAACTGACAAATTTACATGCACAAGCGGCAGTTTTCGTACGACAAACGACTGCATGATCAGCTACGCGACTTGGCGCTTTTTTTTCATCGCCATTTTTTCTGTCCCTTTGCTTCACCCTTGCTTGCAAAGCTTTAATACGCCGTACATGAGCTATTACGAACAACAGCTACACAAAACATGTCAGCTATCCATCTACTATATAAAAGCTGTCTAGTTTTAAAGACAACGGTGTCTAAATCACCTGAAAAGACCTCGTTCTTGGCCGAAACAAGCGCTCTCTTCACTGACGAACGTCCACCATTTTGACAACAAAGGAAAGCTCGAGCAGAATATAGTATCCGGGTGCTGATTGGTCTATCGGATCATGTGGCTTTCATAAACTTTGACTTGATTGGTCGATCGAAATTTGTAAATCTCGTTTTTTAATTTTTGGTCAGAATTTTTCATTTCATAACCCCATATTATCAGATAACAAAATATACCCAGAAATCGTCAAGTATGGAAGATTTTTGCGGACAAATATTAAAAACTAAGGTCAAAGGTAAGATGTAACTGGGGCATAGGTCAAAGGTAAAAGGATAGTCCAGAGGTCTTGCCAAGTACGACTCCTTTGCAAGTTTTACGATGGCAGCGCCTTTAAAACTCTCCAGATTCTACGAATGGGGTAGAAAGATTGTTGGAGTAGGTAGGAATTACAGGTAAAAATTGTAATGTATACACTTTTTCTAAACAAGAAGGTTATACAAAAGTATTATCTAATAAATTTTGCCGGTTGTAACTTTTTAAGGTTGAACTTCCTGACTGAACTTTGTAACGTTACATTGCAGCATATGTAAACTTACATTATCGTTACACGTTGAAAATGATTTCGATATTGCTAAATGAAATTAAATATCCATATTAATTATGTAATTATAACATAATTATCATATTAATATTATATCATCATTCATAATTATTATCATATCACAGTTAACTATCATAATTAACTGGAGCAGAGCTCCTACCCAGCTTGAACAAATATACTCTACTCTTTTCTACTCATAGTCATAAAACGTTATATATATTATATAACATTTATTTATATTTATAATGTTATAAAAAATTATAATGTGCTCTAGTTTATTTTACTTGTCACCATCAATTCTAATGAATGACTTTATTTCAGGTAATACCCATAATACAAACATAAAACCACATAAACATTAAACATACAACAATTTATACACATTTTTGATAAATATATAATATGAATTAACTGATTTGCATCTAATTTGCATATGATCTATCTGATTGCAGAGCTCACTGTGCAGAGCTGGGTAATCCTGTCCCAAAAGAACCTGTCCTGTTTCTCAAGCCGACAACTTGTTACCTTCCCGAGGGGAAAGGGCCAACCAGGGTATGATCATGCTTGCAATCTTTGGAGGGCCTGCACCAGTGTTCTAGCCAGCCCGAAAGTTGTTTCTGTCATCTAAATTTTTTTTTTCTTTACTTGACTTCATGTCGAGCACCGAAAGCACGGGTGCAACCATCCTGGGTTCTGGGAGCATGCCATGGAAAAATTTGAAACCTCTCAAATGCTATTTCCTGCATTTTGAAATTTGAGGGGAAAATTTTGCTGGTAGAAAGCTTAGCTTAAACTTCAGTCACACAACGTTCTGTCAAATGACGGAAAGGCGGATGCTGGCTAGAACACTGGTCCGTACCCTAAAATTAAAAAGCTAACTGCTACGAATCATGATAGACCACCACTTTAAACTTGGATGAGCAGGTTCACAGTTTAATTGAACTGCACTGCCCAGACATGTTTTGTTGATGCAGGTATGTCTCTTTGACAAACCGGTAGCAACCACAAGGCGTCACACAGTTCATGTTCACTTCAAACTCTGAACCTGCGTGTCCCTTATTTTCTTTGATGTTATATACTTTATCAGAAGTCAATGTGAGGAGATAGGCAAGCCCATTCCAGACGAACCAGCAGTTGTGTTCCTCAAGCCTCCATCTTGTATCTTGCTAGAAGGAACTGAGCCCATGCGGGTAGGCTTGCCTACTAATACAAACTTTGGGATTGCACTTTTGAACTTTGGCTACCACACCTACATATAGTTCACATGAACTTAAAGGTGATTTTTGAGCTCGAGTATAATCGGCTGAATACTAGTATTGATTTGTAAGTCTTTGTATTGTTACAGTCAATATTGAGTTACTTTTTTTGGTTGACCACTAAGACTGCTTTACCCTGTGATAGAAATATTAAAGTACAGCTCATACATATATACACAACAGCAATCACACTGCCTTGGCTTGGTGTAACTGTTTGTATAACGCTGCCACAGATGATAGAACTAGTAGCCTGTGTGCCGTCCTCTGTAGTTTCTGCCACTCCCTAATAATTAATGTCAGTCGATGGCTTCAGGAAAACTATGGAGGATGGCACCCAGGCTAAGATGACAGATGCAAAACCCCTAAATTCTCTAATAACTCTTTAAAGTTATAACTGTCCAGACTATCTAGATTGCTCTCATGTGCTGATGACTAGAGTTCTGATACTTGTGTTCTCTTGGAATCTAACATGTAGTCACCTATGTCCATGTGTCGATGTACAGGGCCCTCCCGGCTGTACAGAGCTCCACCATGAGGTAGAGCTTGGCGTGGTGATATCAGGAGGAGGCAGGAACATTCCCGAGGACCGCGCCATGGACCACGTGGGGGGGTACGTCCTCGCTCTGGACATGACGGCCAGGGACTACCAGGCTATCGCTAAGGAGAAGGGCATTCCATGGACATGGGCTAAGTGTAAGTATAAACCTCTATACTTTTCTCCAATGTTAGTGGTTTAAATAGTGGTTGTTTGTGGCATGAGGGGAGGTTGACGTTGACCCAACATGCAGGCCACTGTAAATGGTTTATTAAGTAGCGCATTGGTAGAACATACTGTGCCTGCGTGAAACCCTGATTTTACACGGTTTTTGTTGGCTTTTTGGTCGATATTGCATTAGAATTTTGTCAGTTGCAGACAATATCTTTTTCCCACATAACATTTGGAAACTACATACTGGTTGTTAAACTTATATGCCCAAGTACAACCCTATATGAGACGTTCTAGAAGAAATGCTATGCACAACACATTACAGGTTTCACGCAGGTGCAGTACGATCTAGGAGCTCCTAAGGAGCTAGGGGAATTTCTTATTACATATTTAATATAAGAGAAGAAGTAGATATTTCCTGTCTTTTCTCCCCAGGTTTTGACACAGCATGTCCAATCATCCTCAATTATCTAGGGACTGGAAAGCCCTTCGGCACAGTTTGGCTATATTTCTGACTACTGTCAAATTTTATGAGAGAAAAATCACTCATTTTTTTCCTCCGTTTCTCCCCAGGCTTTGACACAGCATGTCCGATCAGCAACTACTGACTACTGTTTTCTGTCAAGACTAAGTTTTGTTGCGAGAAAAGTAGACATTTCCTTTGTCTTTCTCCCCAGGCTTTGACACAGCATGTCCAATCAGTGAGTTTGTGCCCAAAGAAAAGGTGAGCGACCCGCAGGACCTGAACATGTGGCTGAAGGTGAACGGAGAGGTGAGACAGAAGACCAACACAGACGACATGATCTTCACTGTGCCGTACATCATCAGCTACATCAGCAAGATGATGACTCTGGAACGAGGTGAGATATCTGTCCTTGGTACTGATTGGCTGATACCCTCCCTGTCCTTGGTGCTGATTGGCTGATACCCTCCCTGTCCTTGCTGCTGATTGGCTGATACTGTCCCTGTCCTTGTTACTGGTTGGACTATACCTTTCTCTGTCCTTGGCACTGATTGGCTGATACCCTCCCTGTCCTTGGTGCTGACTGGCCGATACTGTCCCTTTCCTTAGTACTGGTTGGACTATACCTTTCTCTGTCCTTGGTACTGATTGGCTGATACCTTCACTGTCCTTGGTACTGATTGGCTGATACATTCACTGTCCTTGGTACTGATTGGTCTATTCAACCCAGATTACTGCAAGCCCATCCCTTGTGCTGATTGGACAATCCCACATCTGCTACATGTGCTCTTGCTACATGTGTTGCATACATGAGCACGTCGACAGAACATACTGCACCTTCGGCAGAACATCTTAAGATGTAATAAATAATAGATAAATGAAAACTTTTGTTCCAACACAAGAGATCGTTCTCACCTAGAGCTGTTTCGACCAGCCACTCTGGTCTTCTTCAATAGACTGACACTAAGTTGTCTCGTAGGTGAGATACCATTTGCCAAAGGTGAGATACCATTTGACTTTGAACTTCAAAAGCAGCAAATGTATCAAGAGCTTCTGTTTTCCTGAAATCGTTTCAAACAAATTTCTTTTGTTCCAGGTGACCTGATCCTGACAGGCACGCCCATGGGAGTGTCAGGTGTCCAGCCTAACGATGAGCTGGAGGCAGAGATAGAGGGTGTGGTGGCCATGAAGTTTACTGTGGGGGAAACACTGTGATGGAAAAATTAACCCTAAAGCCTCTGTCTGTCACACATAGCCAAATTTAAACATGACCCTCCCAAACATTGTCAAAATCTTTCCAACCATGATTAAGAGTAGGTCGTCAGCACTCAGGGCATGTTCAGGGGGTCATATTTGACTCAAATTTAACTCAAGATAGAGGGTGTTGTGGCCATGAAGTTCATTGTGGGGGAAACACTGTGATGGAAAGATTAACCCTAAAGCTCTTGTCACATAGTCGACCCCCCAAACACTGCAGAAATCTCCCCAACCATGAAGTTTACTGTGGGGGACACACTGTGATCCAGGGGAAATATTACTGTAAATCATGTTCTATTCGTGGCAGCAAAATTTTACGGTCTGAGAAATATGGACATGTTCGCTGAACTGTATGTGCACGGTGCCGTCAGGTGCAGATTATTTGTTCGCAGTTATGAAAAATTTCCTATACAGAAGTAACTGCAAAATCCGTGAATATAAAAGTACAGTAACTGCAAATATAAAGTGATTTACAGTAATTCTCTACCAAAATCTCTCCCACCATGATTAAGAGGTCAGCAGCATTCAGGGCATGTTCAGGGGGTCATATTTGACTCAAATTTAACTCAAATTCAATTTATTCGGATAGAAAGGTAGGCATGGCCTAAATCTGCTCCCAAACTTCAACTGTCGGTGGAAGGTTCTGAATGTGTGACGGGCTTTAGATCCAAGCCAAGATGATAAAGAAATACGGGACCATTAGACTTCAGGAAAAGAATTACTTCACTTTTATTCTTCCATTCTGATACATGTGGTTAAAACTATGACAGGAGATTTACATTTATTCAAAAATATGATGTTACAGTATAAAGTATATTGATGTCAAACCATTTGTTGATGCCATTTTGTAATACTGATGAACTACAAAGTGCAATTATATGAATGCAATCAGTAATAAAAAAACAACTGATTTCTGATTTTTTCATCATTGATCTTTCTTTCTTTTAACAGACGGGAGGACTACCATGAATAGTTTATTACTGTTGTAGCCAGCACAAGTTTCCACACTTTGGAAACCTTGTACTTTCAATGCATGTTTGATACAGATCAATATGAATGAAAACTTACATACAATATTTACATACATCATTGTAATGCTTGATTTTAGTTGACCTAACTGACAAAATCAGGCAGACATGATTGTAAGGATTGCAGAATAAATTCCAGTGAATCCAGCAAATAAAAACTCACATACACCTATACATGTACAAACATGTATAAACATGTACAAATGTATAAACCCAGTGCTGGTTTGGTGCAGGTAGACATCAGAAATACCTGCACAGCAGGTGGTATTTTGAGCCCTGTCTTGTAATGTAGTCTGTCGGAAAGAAATGGAAATTAATTGTTCCCAGTTCTAATTTTCTGATCCTAGTCCTCTAAGACTATACTGAGTGCCTTCATGTCAAACAGCTGTTTCTGAAGGTCAGCATTGTACTGGAGGTCGGGAGGGGGTTCAGTGTCTGCGCCGAGGTCAGAGGCCAGCTCACACAGGACCTTGTACGCGTTACTGTGGTACGCAACCTGCAACAGACGGGAAGGACGGTCATTCCCGTTTTTTTTTTCACGGTACTTTCATGTTCACTGTGATTATCATGGTTACTTTTTTGTGCCATGTACTTATCTTTACCGTTATCATTTGTCTTTGGGCCCCCTCCCTGCACTTGCTGCTACCGTGAACATGTTTATGTTCCCCAAAATGTGAAATATTTTGCTACCATGAAGACAATTTCAGTCACAGAAGACAATACATGTAATAAAATGTATCCATAATTTGATCTTCAATATCATCTGAATTTGATGTCATTAACCTGGAAAGATCAGCCTATTTAAGGCTGAAGATCCCTTCAGTACATGTACCAAGATATGATACATGTTATGTACGTTACGTAATACATACACATATGTACCAGGTACAATTTGGCAGTCCTACACAGGATGCCCCAGGCAGACTTCTGATGTAGTCTTAAAGGAGTACTAACCTCCAGAAGGGGGTGCTATATTTCGACAGGCATTTATTTTTGGAATTGAAAAATGCATGTTATTTTACAGTATACAATCAAATGCCCATTTTGCGCGCAAGTCTTAAAACGCATCGTATCCAGGACAAACTCTCCAAATACCCTCAAAACTATCCCAGAATACACCACGCTACCCCATTGGTGTCTATGTTTTAAACAAAAAGTTACGTTACAGACCTCATTTCGGGGGCGATAAGAAAAATTCGTACCGTTTTGTGTTCTTTGGTATCTTACCAACCGTTGCCCTTCTTAAAGTCCTTATCGCCCCTCATTTATGCCGAAAATATTGACGATGAAAAAAACGGCGTAATCTAGTTATCCTTTCCATAAGTGGCGTAATCAAATTATCTGTTCAAGTGATACTAACATGCAAATAAGTTGAGAAAATCAAAACACGCAGAATGAAACTGGCTCCCACTGTATTCGACATCCTGATATTATAATATCCAAGCCACAGGTCAAGCAAAGTAAAGCAAGTAATTTCTCAATAATCAGCTTGTTAATGTGCTTGTCTCCTACCATTTTTGCCGAAAAATGTTTATGTTGACCTGAAGTGTATGAGTATTGCGTAAGCCAGAATTCCCGGATGTATCAATTGTGGTTCAGCATGGGGGACAATGATATTAATATCACTTTACAAACATGCGCCGCGCAAGTCGTACAAGCGAAATTATGTAAAAAGTCGGCTAGTTATGTATTCATCGCAGCATGATGTATCGGAAAATAGCACTTCCTTCTGGAGGTTAGTACTCCTTTAACATCATTAGTCAGTTTTAATACATTATAGCTGCCCTACCTGAGATCTAAGCAGTGCCTCAAAGCATGGCTGGAAGTAGTCGATCCTCCCGTCGTAGAATTGTGGCATCTCCTCCATCAGACTGGAGTTCTGCACCTCAAAATCTTCCTTGGCTGCCGACAGGGCCTTCTTACCCTGGAGGGGGGAGTGTATGGCTCAGGTAACTAAATTTTAGCTGTGTGCTTAGCATGAAAGTTCATCTGAGTTGGTAAAACACATAATGAGAACTGGTGCTGCATACCGGTTCACTGGACTTGGATCCGGACTTGTAAGAATGTTTAGGTTCAAGTCCCAAAAAACCTAAAAGTCAAGAACCGAGTCCGGACTTATTACCATAAAAGACCATTTCACATTCCCCCTTTCTTTCCAAACCACCTAAAACCACCCGTAGATTGCAAAAACTTTGGTGCAAAATGAAGAAAACATACATCGTCAAGTGTTGGCCTCCATGTTATGTGGCCAAAGTTTCACCCAGACAACATTGCAAGGTTGCCAACATGCAATTTTGTATATGTCATGGGTTTACATGTAGGTCTGGACTTACAAGTCCGGAACTGAACCTAATCCTCTGGACTTGAATCCGGACCTGAACCTACAATTGGGTTTAGGTATGCATCACTAATGAGAACTAAACTGTTCTCCAAGTTCCAACTGAACAAAATTGACTCACTAGGAATTTGACTCACCAGCACTCAGGTCAGAAAGCTGATGACGGAGTGATTTGGTCGAAAATTCCTGGTGAGTCGATTTTATGAGTTGGAGAACAGTTTAATTCTCATCATAAACTGCGTGCCTGTACACAAGTAGATTCATTCCTCAAGCTAACCGACACCTAGCACATACACAGTCATCCCTCAGAAAGACATCTGGAGCTGAGTAGTTAGTTCCCATGAACTACTGTGTGATCTTGGAGTACTATGTTGTTTTGGAATGTTCCACTTTACACAAGAGGTGACACCTACCTGCTCCAGTTTGACAATATTTGGTCCCGTCCTCTCCTTCTCTTGTAGCTTTTCTACCTTCAGCTGCTGTCGACTGTACTCCTGGGGACAGGGAATAGCACGAAAACGGTACACATACAGTACAATAACAGTACATATATGGTACAGAAATAGCATAGAGACAGAAAGGATGCTATCAGGATTAACAGAACAAGATGTACACTGCAAATGTTAACAAATCAGTCCCATGAAATGCCAACATTAAGTCGAACAAATACATTTTTAAGTCCCTTGACTTGCAAGACTGCCTGCAGTACCATCATTATTCACTAGGAGGCATTACTGCACTGTCAATTCAGTTTGATCTGGCCATTCCCTTCCACTGACCTGAAGACTATGTTCCCTTTTCCTGATGGCACTGTTGGCCTGGGGGAAGATGTTGGTGAACCTGAAACAAGAAACCAACGCTTTTAAAATATTACTGAGAATTATTCTGACAGAATAAAACCATTCTCAAGCAAGTTACCTATTTTTTGTGTAGAAGAATAAACATTACAAAGCACCTTGCACAGTCCCCCCAGACTTTCAAAGTCACAAAACTACACAGGTAAGAATGGATGCTTGTGAGATAATTTTCACTATCTCACAATTTGCCTCTACGATGTTAGTATTTCATATTAGTACCAAGACACTGGTCCTCAAGCAGAAATATGCATGTATCAAATCCACAGTTTTACATAATTCTAATCAGAAAGAAATCTTTGCATGCTAGACCCCAACATTAGGACCAGCAAACATACCAATCAGTCAATGTCATTGGAGCATTCAAGGTGTGGTGTTAGTGTGTGTGCACTTCTTTGATTAAATATTACCCCACAGAAGTGGGGCCAGAAAAATTGGCCTATAGACTCATTGATTGTTCCCCTCCACGGAAATCTTTAGTAAAAGGCGAAAGATTTATGCGTGTTGTTTGAAGGGAAACCAGAGTGCAGGTCTTACAGCGAGCAAAAATTTTGGGGGTCTCGAGAATGTGAATAGTACTAGTGGCAACTCAAGGAGCAAACATTCTTGTACAATGTTACATGTAAAGGTCTTATTAGGTCTGTTTTCCTTTAATCCGTAAGATCATTATTAACCCAATTTTCGCATATATTTATATTTTTGCATTTATTTCATCTTCTACATGCAATTTAGTGAAATAAGTTACTAGTGAACGTGCTCACCACGTAGAAGTCGCTATGCATGCTGGGATACTGTAATTAGGTAGTCACATGACCCGCACCAGGTCAATGACCTTCCAAAGTCATGTGACCAGTAACATGAGACACCCCTGTTTGCACTACTATTTACTGCTGCCCAGGCAATGCACTGTACTGGAAGCAAGCTGTGGCTTCAGGCAAAAACCAAACTGATCCCACAAAAAAAACATTTAACCAATCCAAAAAAATATGGAAATTCCCAAATACAAATGTGTTATACGTAATGTCAAGGTATGAAATCGTACAACATATCCAGTAACTAATGTATCAGCAACAAGTTGCTGATGATATGATGATACAAAAGTTTTTCTTACCTTTTCATCGGTTCAATTACTGCTTTTTGACTATTTGTGTTCTGAAACAGATAAAACAGGTCAGAGCTAATGCCACATGCTTTGATGAAGACTCTAGACGCAGTTTTAATTGTGAACAAGTAATTTCTACAGAAAAAAAAAACAACTTGGCCTAGCATATTGAATTTGATTTACATTATAGAAATCTGACTGATGCTCAGTTGTGTGACTTGTGTATTTATTGTTAGTATGGGTTGTTTTCTGTTTAGTGTTTTCCATTTCATAATTTCTGTTATTTCGTTATTTTCAATTTATGCAATTGTGTACAGGGCACGCCAGTAAAGCAGTGTGGCTAGCACTGAGTGTGCTTAGGCCACACCAATTTAATTTGTTGCTTCTCAGATTTTTTCAGAAAAAAATTGGAGTGACGGGGAAAAAAAAAATTAAAAGAAATTTAAGAAAACTGGGGTGAATATGTAAGGCTCACGGTATACATAACACATACAATAAGAGGATTGTGCAAGTTTTCAGCTTTCATCTCAAAGTTTTATGCACTGAATCCCAATTCTGAAAAAAGCAAAAATTAAAGGACATTATTGTCATCATCACCACATTTCAGTGCTTACATTAGTTACATTAGCACTGAGACAGGAGACTATGTATTTTTCCAGTCTTTTGTTTTTAACTGAATCTATCTGTGTTACATTTACTATGGTAAGTCTTATTTTGTATGATGTCAACCAAACATTTAATAAGCCACTATTGCATTAAAAACAGTCTGAGGCAGCATTTCTCTACCATTTCTCCTATTTATTACATTTACAAGTATCCTGGATAAACAAATTTTCCAAACTTCAATACATACTAACATTCTCCTGTGTCCTTTCTTACAATAACAACCCTTCTGCAGACATTCGAGGTGTCTCCACAAAGATCTATAGCGCTAAGATCCTTCCATTTTTATTGTAGAAATCTCCCATAAGATGACCATTAAAAATTCGTACAGAAACATTTGCTTAAACATTTGAAAAACACGTCCTTGAAAATGATAATCACCAACCTGCAGACTTGCTGTAGACTTCACATGATTCCTCTATTGACCATGTGCCAATTAGGTAAAAAGAATGAAAAATCGCATAATTCTCCTGTTTAGGAACCACAAGGGCCGGCATAATTTGTTCCTTTACAACCAAACTCTAAAATTAAACTCAACTAAGAGTTTTAAACAATGAATTTAGACTAGTTTTCGAGAGTTTAGAGTGGCACACAAAGCAAGCCTTCACAATAAAGGGCGCCATCTTGGATTTGAAAGGGAGCTTGGCATAGGGCCTATGCCCAAATTTGGGCAGCAGGTGCACCCTGTTTGGAGTTCTGGTCGCTGATTGGCTGTTTCCTTATACTTTACTGCTAAATGAACACCTGTGTAGGCTTCCACATACTTATAATAGGCATTGGTTACTTAGTTTTTTACTAGTATTAGCAGGGAAAAGAAGTCTTTTGGGTTGTAAATCGGTTGAAACATGTCACATAACCTACATTTCTATGTACCTTGCTACTTTTAAACGAAATTTTAAAATTTTTAAACCAAATAAGCTGCTTTCCTTTATTCTTCTTGCTGCTGATTGGCTGTTGAGATCTAATTGGGTTAACTGTATTAACAGCTGCACATAGCCATACCATATTGACGGTAATGAACTGCATTCAAGTGTTTTGGGGTAGGTATGTCAAACTTTCCTTCTCAAGCATTGGAATGTGGGACATAAACGCTTTTTTACTCTTGAAAATCAACAGCATTATGCAAATAAATCCTAACCAATAATGTAGGGGATAGCTACCCAACTGTTGCATTCTTAGTTATATTTCACTTCATACTATATTTATATCAATGTAAATCATTGTTTTCCCTTGTATTTCTCCTTCTTTCCCTGCCCTGTCGTGAAACATGGTGAAGTCATGCTACATTTGCTCCAAAGCAAATGTTGGCCTTTCTAGTTTGTGTTTAAGTTAAGTTCTCAACTCCGGCGATTTTTTGTTGTTGTTTTTGTTGTTGTTGTTGTTGTAAATGCAAAAAAATGGAGAGCGGCAAATCCGAGAAGCAACAAATTAAATTGGTGTGGCCTTACCAAGTAAAATAAAACAGAAATGAATATGTAAATCTGAATAAGCAATTCTTGAAGAAACTCACCAGTTCCTGAGAGAACCCCTCCAGCTTAGCTGTTGTGGCTCCCACTGCCTCTGCCTGGGAGAAAAAAGTCTGACTTGATTAACTGATTATATGCTGTAGTACTGCCTTAGCCAGATAGAGGGCAGCATTGCATTACAAGCACTGACATGACTGACAGTACTATCTGCCCTTGAAATTTCAGGACTGCACCTGAAACTTGCTAGAACTGTTTAAAATTGAACCAAAGGCCACAAAAATGCTTCAAAATGTATATCGACATGGCATGATTGTATGACACTCCCATTATTTGAGTCCCATCACAGGCCTTTTATTGTTCACATTTCAAGAAATGTTTCAACTGTCAAAATCTATTGTAACTCCTTGAAATTGTACGTAAAAATAATTTATAGCAGTACCTCATTCCTTAACATGTCTTCTCCTTGACACGTGGACACAAGATCTTGCCCCAACTTTACCTCACACTTGGACAGCGCTGGGGAACAAAACAAAAACAACAACAAGGCTTGGTACACTCGAATCCTTGTCATGGCAGGTAGAGACAATCATCTGTATACAAACTAATCAACACCTAGACAATATTATTGTCTGCTGTGTTACATCTGTTACATTGCAAAACCATATGATAGTTATTTACAACAGATATAGTACACCACTATTTCCACAGTTTTTGGTGAACTAAAATACTTTCAAATCAGTGTCTGCATTGGGCAAATATCAAAGAAGATTTTGATAACCACAGTACAATTTACAAGTAGAGGCAGCAGATGCAGTACTGTGCATTACACATTACATAAGACCACGCTACACATTACAAAACATGCAATATTACTGTGCAACCATTAAAAGAACAGCAAAAATGCAATCAACTTACATATATAGAAGCAGTTTTCAAATATTGTTAATAACACATAAATGACAGTCTTACCTGTGACTGCCTCTGTACATTTCCTCATGTCTTTGTACAGTTTTTTAGTGGATTCATCCAGTCTGCATCAAAAGACCAGACTTATGTTGGTGAAGGTTAGACATATCCAAGTAAACAATATTCAAAGACAGTTCAAACTCTACAACTGGATAAATTACTACTACAAAGATTACCGTTGGTACTTCTGGATGTTACTTCCAAACATTTCAAGTGACCGATGTCACTCCAAACGTCCGGAAGTAATCTCCATTACTTGTCAAGTAGTAGAGCCAAAAATACCAAAAGAGAGATCAAAATGAGAGAAATAGTTAAAGTGAGACAAAGATGGGGTACTTATCTTTGTACCTGAAACACCAGAAAAGCTGATGGTAAAATTTGAAGCAGATTTTCAGTTGATTTAGGAATGGATTTTGGGACAGGAATCAAACAGTGGCCATCTTAGATCACACTGATATGCAAATTTACAAGTTTGCAAGTTGATGTTGGCTTCCTAAGCCCCTGAAGACAACAAACTGAGTGTTACTCACTGTGCCAGTTTTGTACATTCCCGCTCAAAGTCTTTCTCGACTGTCTTGGAAATGACTGTTCTCTTGGGGGAGGCAGAAAGACGGTTGAACGGATTCCTGAGTGGGAAAAAAAAACATGCAAAAGAAAAGTTATTTACCAGGATTTATTCTTCCTTTATATACATGTACCAATGAAATCTGCAGGGGTATAATTTGTTTGTTTGTTTGTTTATTTGTTTATTAATTGGGGTATATTTCGCTATACATTCAACACAAAGCATGGACAATCTCTTGTTTGTTAACACAAAGCATGGACAATCTTTTTTGCAAGTTCATGCGGCTTCCCTAGGGCTTCCCTTGCAAACATACATAATTTGACAAGAACAATGAGTACAGAATGTATTGAGGAGTGGTATAAAACTATAAAAATATATATGCTACTTATTCAACTTTCTATCTCTTCTTAAAACTAATAACCTACGTATAAAAGATTAAGTGTGGTTTGTAGTACATAAACAGGTATGGGGAACATGGTATATAAAATTTGAAGGAGTTCAATATCAATGATTGACCAAAGAGGAATTTTGTTTGTTTTCCTAGTTTGACAAACCGCCACGCCCAAAACAACCACCTCTGGTCGTTTTTACACCAAACCACAGCTTATCACAGCTACCAGGGACTCTTACCAACTCATAGTGTTGACTGTTTGCCGAAGAACGTTGTATTATTGGACAAAACTCAACTCAAAACATCTCAAATTTACGACATAATTTCTGCAGCGGAAATGTCGCCTGACAACACGACCTTTGACCCATCAGATGGATTGTTCCACTACTGGTCGATAATTTAAATTGTACCGTTTAGATTTGTGTATTCTTCTAATATAGTGTCTTAAGTTGCTTAGATATAGTTTTATTGTTAGAAATATATTGGTTATAGTCAGTAGAAATCATAATTTTTCTGTTGTATGTTTAATTTTTTTCACTGTCTGGGGACCCTTTCCGGAAAATGTGATCGTCGTGACGTCACTGTCCAACATGGCGGCCCTGGTGGAAAAAATCGCCAAGCAGGCGCTTCTGACGTTCGACTTCGCCTCTCCGCACTGGGAGCGGTCCCTGAAGGACAACTTCGGCAAGCTGACATCCTTCATGAACCAGCTGACCTACCGGGACGTCAACATCGAGCCCAGAACGGAGGAAAAACAGCCGAGAAGGTCGCTCCGCGGGAGGCCCGTTTCGTCTCAGGACGACCCCGCTCCGGTCACGTACATGCCGATCTGCAACCACGAATTCTTCACCATGGGGATCTTCCTGGTGAAGGGCGGGGAGAGGATCCCGCTGCACGACCACCCGGACATGCACGGCGTCTGTAAGGTCCTGTACGGCACGGTGTCCATCCGATCCTACAACCGCCTCGACCCCTCCGCCAACGGTACGCAACCCCCTCCACCTCTCCCCGACTTCGACACCCCCCTCCCTCCGTGGCAACGCAACTCCCTGGTGGCTTGCACGGCGAACGGACAGTTACAACTGGACGAGAACAGCGAGGCCTGCGTCCTGGAGCCCCTCAGGGGAAACCTGCACGAGATCGTGGCCGTAGACGGCCCCGCTGCCTTCTTAGACGTCCTGGCGCCTCCATACGACCACGACGGCTCCACGGACAGAGACTGTCACTACTACCGCCCTGTCACCCCTGTAAAGGACCCCGCACAGCTACAGGAAGACGACGTGCACTGGCTCATGAGAATATCTCAGCCCAGAGACTTCTGGTGTGACGCGGAGCCCTACCCGGGGCCGTCTGTGTCAGTCTGACTGTCGTAAAATATTACACTTTAATTTTGATTTTAAGAAAGCACAGACTTTGCAATGGGGTGACTTAAACATAGTACCATATATGTTGTCGAATATTCTCTATTTACAATAGCAACAGAAGAACGTGTTACACAGAGTTGCGTACATATATAATACTTCCAAATGGAATACAGGATCATGATTTAAAAGCCAGTAATCTCTGTAGTTAACATAACTGCCAGTGAGTGCTATTACACGTGCATTAACATGTATATTAAATGTATATTAACATATACACAAGAGAGAGCAAACCTGGCAGTTCATAACTACTCTACAGCATATTTCCTGTATAATGTCAGGATAAGGGACAGAAAAAAGACTGTTCAGATTATAACAATATAATCCAAGAAATGCTAAACTCCTGAATATAAAACCAACTATAAATTCTTTATCTGTATAAGTGAAGCCAAAAAACTGAAATAAGAAGTTGGTGACTTTGTTCATTTACCTCATGAATTAGAAGTTGACAGTGTTACAGGTACATGTAGCACAAGCAGCATCTGCCTGCACTTTCTGTTTTCTCAACTGTGTTCTTCATTTTAAGTTGTGGGTGAAATCCTGCAGTACACGTTTAGGACACTAGAGTGTGCCAGACGATTCCTCGGGGAGGATGCGTAGTACGTAATTTGCATATATTTGTTGCCGAGACGGGTGATACGTGAAGGTTGGGATCACTGCCACAATACGTACATGTCGATAGATGACACAAAATGATGTTGCTGAGTCCAGATCCAAAGGTGTGAAACTATTTCATGTAGCACAGAACAATAAACAATCAACTAAGTTGATTTGCAGTATGTGTGTTTGTTTGTTTGTGTTTTACAATGAAAGCATATAAAGCAATTCTCTCTTAAGTTCTCGTGCTGACGAAAATAGCACGCAGATTCCTAGTACTTCCAATGTCATATATAGTGTCACATTAAATGCGTGGATTTCAATTCACCTTGGTGATTTACTAATTTCTTTTGTCCAGTAATCTCTAAGCAACCGGCAATCCGATACGCCATCGTTGATTTGCTATTTAGAATGTGAAGTGACGGCCGTTCGTTTGCCTGGTTTCCTTGCCATTTGAGTTGCCAACCATCATTTGTAAAACCCAGTTGTTATAGCCTGGGTACCAGACTGTTTCCAGGGTCTACACAGGCCAGTTCTACTGCTACAGGGCCAACAATAGCCCCCAAGGAAATTATATCACAGTCCCCCTCAATTAAGCCCTGATCCAGGCACGCGCTGGCTAACTCTGGGCCTGGCGTGTTATGGGTCTAGCATCCAGGCTGCAGTTGTCACTCCTTGCACGTACTACCCGAACCGGCGACGACGTCACTCTGACCGCTGTGACCAGACCCATACATTAGCCACCGTCAGTTTCAATTTCATAGTCTCCACCAGACTCCTTTTGGCCAGAGGAGATGGCCACCATAGAATCTCAGCTCAAACTGGAGATTCTATGGCGGACATCTCCTCTGGCCAAAAATATTCCCTTTTTAGGCCAATTTCTACTATTCATCAGCCTGCAAAAGGAGTCTGGTGGAGACTAGGCGTTATAGAGGGAATGCGAAATGTTGCCTTCTAAGTTCTACTCTCCAAGCAGAGGTTGGTGAGGGAAGATAGTTACCGTTTTATATATATGGTGGTGGGGATAGGGATACCCTGGTGAAGAGAGTACAGTTTGCTCATCGTGGTTTGCTGTACTCTCTGGTGGACCAACTGGCATACCATCTGTCCGATTTCTACTCTTTCTGGCCGCCTCCCGAAGCCGTGTGGAGAGGGACAGTTCATTAATTCTGTAACAGGATAAACAAGGTGCCGTAGACAGAATTACTATCTGCGCGGGGTACCGTATGATAAGTAGGTTAAAAGGAGATTAGAATTTTTGCGTTTTGGAGCATATTGGTTGTTTTCAATTCAAAACAGAAGCGAGCGAGCACATAGATCAATAAATATGGGTCCAATCGTTATCCATTATCTCAATTACTCTTCAAGCAGGGGAAGATCGTTAACGTTTTATAAATCCCCCGTTTTTGTCGCTACCCGCGGACCAACTCTTCTGGCATATCATCTGTCTATTTCGCCAATTTCTACTCTTTTCAGTCGCCTCCCGAAGCCTGGTAGTGGCTACCCGCAGTCTCCTTCCTATCATCACACAAACTACTAGCGTAAGACAGATCACCGGTCACCACCCCGCAATGGGGCCGCGCAAAATCAGCCCCGCATCTCCCCGGCGTGCCGCGGCGCGATACGGGGCATTTCCCGCGTCTTTACGTCACGGTGAACCTTCCCCATCTCCGAGACGAATGGCCGCAGCTCCTGGTTTGCGTCATTTGTGCGAGATCGATCCCGCGGGTGTCACCGTCTGGGGAGAGACGCGCCGCGCCGCTCCATACAACATGCACCCACCGTACTAAACTACGTGATGGGGGTGATAATGTACACACATACCCACCGGGTTTAGTACAGGTCACAACAAAAGAATAGAATACAGATAACGTTACACTATACAACACCTTCTAGTAAGTAACTTCGGCTTCTGCTCGTTTCTCAGTGATGGTAAAAAGGTAAGAACAGATATGTTCCATGATCGAAGGTTTGTAATAATTATCCATCCGCCAAGGAGATTAGGTCTGTGTTGCCGTCGGTTGATTCTTTTGAGGAAATAGATAAGCCATCAATTTATGAATCAATTTTCTTCTGATTTTTTTAATACTAGTAGGTAGGTATGGCTTGGCGTTAGAAACGAAGTGATTAAATTTCGGAACTGTATGAAATCTAAAGAACGGCCATCAGGCATTTGATTACAGTCACTCAGTATTATAACAAGGCATGGCGGGTTGGCAACGTTCCTCGGAGACCCAAACCCCGGGCGACAAGCTGGCTGATTAGATGACCGCTGGAGAGTGCAGTATAGCCTTAGCTTTGGTTATTTATCCCGTTTATTTACTTTATTAAAAAACAACTAGTGGTATAAAATATCGTTTAACACCATTTTTCCGCTTATATAACACGTTTTCTTAACTCAAGTAATTATAAGTACTAAATAAATGTACTAAATAATCAAGTCTGTATCCTTTTCACCCGTCAACACGGACCCAACTATTCCATATGCTGGTTCTCTGTGCATTAGCGGAATCCTCACGATTGTGTCTTCATTTTGACACAAGTGACAAAAATGTGTGCAGAATCAATTGCACCATAACATCCAGTAGATGGGAATACGCAATCCACAAGCACCAACCATTCATTACACACAGGTGGAGCGGCACCAATATGTACCGCGTGTATGCCATGCAATATCAGCAATATATGGACCGTGCTTAAACATGTAATATCCAGCGTGGAAGAGCTTCAGCCGTTCTATAGGCATGCAATCTCGCACTTATGTATATAACATGAAGTGCAGTTGACGTATGTGCCATCCCCATGTTTAATACATGTCTGTACAATACTTGAAGTCATAACCCTCGTACACTGACGAATGAGGTAGAGAACAGAGAGGTGACGGCTGTGATATCGCACATCTAATGATGCGCTATATCTTAATTATACCCACGACGGATCTATATCAGAGGTTCTATATACGTTGTCTCTCAATCAAGGTATTTTTACCGGCGTTTCTTGCGTGCACTTGTAATATCAATGTTATACATATATTTCAAAAGAGTTATTAACGTCTCCTAGTAGTTTTGGATGTGGTAACATCATCTTAAATTGAAGAATTAATTATTCGATTTCATAAAGCACTTAAAATTGTTTGCCACCCGATTCGGCTCTTCAATGCGAAATACACAAGAACAGTTACCGAAGCAACTAGATAGATTTTGAAAAGTGTCCGACGTTTCAAGTAGCACCCACTAACTTTCGTCAGTGACTGTAAGTAGTGGATGACGCTTGAAACGTCTGACAGTTCTCCAAAAAAGATCTGTCCAGTTGCTTGAGAACTTTTTTCTTGTGTATCTTATAACCCGGATGTCTAACCTTCATCGACGTTATTAGAATCTAATTGTATTCTTGTAGTGTTTCGTGGCTTCATTCCGTTTCTAATGACAGTCTTTGTGTAACTTCCAATCGTCAAACATCTGCCAGCCACGTTGAATACTATGGAGACTTTTTATCGGTTTTCGTTCGTTGGAAAAATATGCGGACTTTGCGCATCTTAAATGCGTACTTCGTGTACGAAAATCGATATGCTTTTTGTCAGACATATTCCCCACTTCGACCTTTAACTTTACCGCTTACCTCATCTTACCTTTTAAGAACGCAAAAAGCACACTTTACTTCTTTCAATTCATCTTCTAGTGCACGTAGTAGTAGTGATACACTACAGTCGGTCTGCAGACGTAACTTTTATATTACGGTAACATTGTTAGCTTGCATAAAATATGATAATAACTTTATTGCACAACAATACTAGGGTACAACTGCAATTTCATAAGGCTAACCTACCTAGCTAGTATGGGATGGGAATAAGCTTTCACAATCATTGTGTGTCTCAGGTGTGTGAGTTGTGTGTGTGTGTGTGTGTGTGTCTCAGGTGTGTGTGTGTGTGTGTGTGTGTGTGTGTGTGTGTGTGTGTGTGTGTTTGTTTCCAAGGACCTCCCAAGTCCTATCGTCTCCGTGCGTATATGTATACCGTATATGTGTGTGTGTTTATAATTATTTGCACGTTTCCTAGGACATTCACTCGGAAGTCCTCCTCCATGCGTGAGTACGTGTGCGCCCGGCATGTGCGTCCATTATTATTACCATATATGTGTGTGTGTGTTTGTGTGTTTATTTGTACATGTTTCCTAGGCCCTCCACTCGGAAGCACCTCTCCGTGCGTGAGTCGGCGTGCGGCGGGACATGTGCGCCCGGCATGTGACGCGAGTCCTCCGGAAGACCTGCGTCCGGACAGGCGCCAGCTGACGTGAACGTACGGAGGAAATCTCAACCGCTACGCACGCGGCGTCATCTGATGCTGACGCCACGCGGAACACTTGAAGAAAAAAAAAA